TCCTTGTCCTCCTCCCTCAGTAGAGTGTCCTCCGCCTGTCCAGCCGCAGTCACAGTTACCGCCTGCCTCGCCTCTCCCTGCTCCCTCTCCTTACACTGGTCCCACGGGAGGTCTTACAGAGCGTCGTGAGCCTGAGTCTCGTCCTGCGTCGCCTGTTCGTCCTGCTCGCACTGCTCGTCGTGTCCGTCGTGAGCGTCCTCCTCCTGTCCCAGGCACTCATTACATGACTCTGCGTCCCTCTACTGCTCCTCAGCGTGTCCCTCTACCGTCTCCTCCTGCGTCCTCTTTGCCTGCCGTTCCGGACCCTGAGTCTGACCGGTATCGCGCTGAGCACCCTACTGTCACGCGTCTCCTAGCTACTGTTGTCACTGACCCTACCTTTGAGTCCTCGGCTGCGTCTGCTCTGGTCGCTGAGTTGGTTGACTTTGCTGCTGCCTGTCGTCTAGACTACGCTGCTAGCCTTGTTGCTGAGTCTGAGTCTGCGTCTGTCTGTCCTCCGTCCGTCGGGGGTGAGTGTGCTCTTGGCACGGACGTCCTTGAGGACAGGCAGGAGGACTTTGACTCTCTCGCGGCTGCTGTACCTCATCTCGTGGCCTGGTTGCTTGCCCCTGAGGGAGACCCGGATGCACTAGACATCCCCACTCCGCGCACTTACGCAGAGGCGATCTCGGGTCCCTACTCCTCTCAGTGGCAGACAGCCATGGACGCAGAGATGGCATCCTGGAAGTCCACAGGCACCTACGTCGACGAGGTTCCCCCTCCTGGGGCGAACATCGTCGATGGCATGTGGATTTTCAGGGTGAAGCGGCCGCCAGGTTCTCCGCCTGTCTTCAAGGCTCGTTACGTTGCTAGAGGCTTCAGTCAGCGTCAGGGGGTCGACTTCTTCCAGACCTTCTCCCCCACCCCGAAGATGACCACTCTTCGGGTTCTGCTGCACGTTGCTGCTCAGCGTGACTACGAGCTTCACTCTCTTGACTTCAGCACAGCGTTCCTGCAGGGCAGCCTGCACGAGGAGATCTGGCTGCGCCGCCCACCTGGCTTTACTGGGTCGTTTCCTCCTGGTACCCAGTGGAGCCTCCGCCGGCCAGTCTACGGTCTCCGCCAGGCGCCACGTGAGTGGCACGACACACTGAGGACTACACTTGCAGCTCTTGGGTTCGCGCCGTCTACTGCTGACCCGTCGCTGTTTCTGCGCACAGACACGTCGCTACCGCCGTTCTACATTCTCGTGTACGTCGACGACTTGGTCTTTGCTACTGCTGACACTGAGGCACTCGCTCGTGTGAAGTCGGAGCTGCAGAAGAGACACACCTGCACTGACCTGGGTGAACTGCGTAGCTACCTTGGCTTGCAGATCACCCGGGACAGAGCTCGCCGCACCATCACCCTGACTCAGTCACGCATGGTGCAGCAGGTCCTTCAGCGCTTCGGCTTCCAGTTCTCCTCACCACAGGCCACACCTCTGGCTACCAGCCACTCGCTCTCAGCTCCACCTTCGGACGAGTCCGTAGAGCCGAGTGGCCCGTACCCAGAGCTTGTAGGCTGCCTCATGTACCTGATGACTTGCACGCGACCTGACCTCGCGTACCCTCTTAGCATCCTTGCTCGTTACGTTGCGCCTGGGAGACACAGGCGAGAGCACTGGGAGGCTGCTAAGAGGGTGCTGCGTTACTTGTGCAGTACATCAGGCATGGGGCTGGTGCTTGGAGGACGCGACAGAGTTGTCCTCACTGGTCACTCGGACGCTTCTTGGGTGGACGACCTGGCTACGCAGCGGTCGTCACAGGGTTACACCTTCAGCCTTGGCTCTGGTTCTGTCTCGTGGCGGTCCACCCGCTCTTCCTCTGTTCTCGGCTCTAGTTGTGAGGCTGAGATCTACGCCACAGCCATGGCTGCACAGGAGTTACGCTGGCTCACCTACCTGCTGACTGACTTGGGAGAGCGGCCTAGTTCTCCTCCAGTTCTGTACGGTGACAACAAGGCGGCTCTTGCCTTGTGTCAGGAGCACAGACTGGAGCACACGACGAAGCACATTGCTCTTCGCTACTTTCTTGCTCGAGAGCTTCAGCAGCGCGGTCAGCTTCGGCTTGTGTACGTGGACTCGAAGGCCAACACTGCTGATATCTTCACCAAGGCGCTCCCGCCTAGTGATCATCAGCGGCACTGTACTTCTTTAGGCCTTGTGTCCACGTTTCCTCACTTGCTCACTGCTTGACATTCTTTGTACTGTACTTTATATATATCTTGTTGCTTGCTTGCTAGGTTTTGATCACTGTGTTGCTTGTCTTGTACTATATCTAGCACTGCATGTGAACTGGCCTTGTGGCCTTTGCTTGTGCTCGGAGTGTGGTGACGTTGTGATCCACCCTGGGCTTGTGTTGCTTTGCTGGACTGGTCTTGTGACCCTTTGTTCTCCCCCACTTTGCCTATGGGGGTGTGTTAAAGTGTAATGTGTTATATGTTGGTAGGCTGTAGTGGGGTAGCCAATATGGGGTACAACCCCAACTAGGGTTTGCTACTTGTACCCAACTGTTCCATTCAATGCACTCATTCTTGCCTAGTGATTCTGACATTACACTCGTCCCCCCCTGGTTGCCAACGTCCCCGTTGGCCCTCAACTTCAGAGAGTCGGCCCCTCCGCAAGGACCTCCCTGGATCGTTCGCTGGGTTCGAGCTGGTTACAACCACACTTCAGTTCTCGCCAAAGACGGAAAGTGTGAACCAGCCAGGACTCGAACCCTAGGCTCTGATACCAGTGTAACACCTCGCTACCCACTGGGTCAAAACGAGGGTGTTATTTGGCGCAGCGGAGTGCCGTTAACACAGCCCAGAGGCGTTACAGTAGCCGTCGAGAAGTCGGCGAAAGAAACGGCGGCGGCATTTGGAGGTTTAGGGCCCCGTCGCGTCACGCCATTAGACGAGAGATCCTTCTACGTCCTCCATCATCGCGGCAGTCGTCATGACGGAAGATCGAGTTACTAACTCTAGCAGAGGCGACGTGACTTCCCCCAAGATGCAGAGAGAGAAAAAAAGGGATGATACTGCATCGGGAGGTCCTCTGAATTTCTCCGCGGGCGTGCTATTCCAGGGTGAGAGTGATGATTGAACTTCCTCGAAAGAAGCGCCGGCGCTTGAACGCTGAGCGCGGCGCTCACTGGTTCACGCGGCACGACTCGCAGCACCTCAAGATCTGTAGATACCACGCGTTCTCCGCCATTTCTGTTAAGAACAGATTCCCCGCCATTCTCGGCTCGGCCTCACAGGTTCGTTCAAGTGGCGAAGCCACGGAAAGCGGCTGGGCTCGTCCAACTCAGCCGAGGTGGAAGAACGGGGCGCGGATCCGCGGATACTCAAAAGCTCGAGTTTTTGATAAACACGGCGCTCGACATGCAGTTTGGATAATCATTGGTCACGCGCGACGCGGAGGGAGAGCGGCTGTGATGCCCGTGTAGGCCGACACGAGAATGCGCGCGAAAAAGAGAGCCGCGCGGAAATGCGCGCGGAAAAGAGAGCCGCGCGGAAATGCGCGCGGAAACGAGAGCCGCTTGGAAGTGAGCGCGGAAAAGAGAGCGGAAACACGCGCCGGGTGAACGCGGAAGGCTTGCGCTTTGATCAAGTGTTTCCATCCCCTCTTGCGTTCATGGCCTTATCCGCGCAGGTCTTCAGGGCCTCATCCCATTCCCCGGCCGATTCTCCCCACCGATTCCCGCACTCGATCCCCCCCACCCGATTCCCCCCACCCCGTTTCCTGTGCTGTTTCTCCCACGTCGTCCCCCACACACAAGTCGCCGCGGCCTGCATCCATCCGCCGCCCCCCATAGGCATCCGCGTTCCCCCCATCCCCCGTCCCCGGATCCGGCGTCCCCCGATCCACCGTCCCCCGCTCCGCCGTCCCCCGATCCGCCGTCCCTCCATCCGCCGTCCCTCCATCCGCCGTCCCTCCATCCGCCGTCCCTCCATCCGCTGCCTCGCATCCACTCTCCCCCTTGTGCGCCTTCCCCCATCCTTCTTCCCCATCCGCCATTCCTTATTTCACCATCCCCCATCCGCCTTCCCCCTTTTCAGCCGTCCCCCTATCCACATTCCCCCCATCAGCCAACCCTTACCCGCTTCTCCCTCACTTGCCTTCCCCCCATCCAACTCCCCCATCCGCCGCTGGAGTCCCCCTTCCGCCCTGCCGTCCCCGAATCCGCAGTTCCCCATTGGCCGTCCCCCAATCCGCCGTCCATATCCTTTCCCCCAGCCGCCTGCCCCCCATGTGCCATTCCCCAAAATTTCCCCCCATCCGTTTCTCCCATCCGCTATCCCTTTATCCGTCGTTCCCCCAGCCACCTGCCCAGTGCCCCCCATGTGCCGTTCCCAAATCCCTACCCCCATCCTTTCCCCCAGCCGTCCCCCTGAAGGTCCCATGCCTACTCTCCCACTCGTGTGGCTTTCATTGGCAGCAGCACCATGCCTAGCAGTGCCATCGCATGCACCTGTTTCCAAGGATCCAAATATCCAAATCCTCCTCCCCCCCCGTCCTAATCCGCCTCCCCTAAGCTCACCCCTTTAACCTCCCCACTAACACTCCACCCACCTTTCGACCCCAGCCTCATACCCCGAACCGCACCCCCTTCCCATCTCCCTCGCCCAGCGAGGCGACCTGGTTCACTCACAGTGCATGGGCGACCTGGTTCACTCACAGTGCATGGGCGACCTGGTTCACTCACAGTGCATGGGCGACCTGGTTCACTCACAGTGCTGGTGGCTGCATGGGTGGCGGCGGGGGGCTGTAGGCGGGTCAGTGCCAATCCCCGTAATCATCTCTCCCTTCCCCCTCTCGCCCATCTCCCTCGCCCAGCGCCCTAGGTCACTTCACAGCCCTGGTGGCGGCGTGGCAAGGGTGCTGTGTGGTTGAGTCACAGCCGGTCTACGGCCTCATTTGTCTCACTCTCTCCCTTGGCTCGCCCCTCTCCCTCGCCCAGCGCCCTCGCTCACAGCCCTGGTAGCGGTGTGGCATGGGTGCTGTGTGGTTTAGTTGTGGCGGGTCTCTCCCCTCCCCTCCCTGGTTCACAGTGCTGTTAATGGCGTGGGTGCTGTGTGGGCTGGCCGTGGGTGCCTGGTCGCCCAGCCCCCTGGTTCACAGTGCTAATGGCGTTGTGGGTGCTGTGTGGGCTGGGCATGGCCGCATGTCTGGTCTCCCTGATCAGCTCTCCCTTCCCATTCCCCTCCCCCCCCTCGCCCAGCCCCCTCGCCCAGCCCCCTGGTTCACAGTGCTGGTAGCGGGGTGGGTGCTGTGTGGGCTGGGCATGGCCGCATGGCTGATCTACCGGAAGCACTTGCTGTACGAGGATCAAAGGGAGGAGGCGCTGGGCATGTGGTGCGAGGAGCGCGCCCTCTTCTCACGCTGCTCCCATCTTTATCCCCCTCTCTAACCCCCTCTCTCCCCTCTCTCACCTCTCTCGTTCCTTCATCTCTCCTCTCATTTCTCTCTCGCCTCCGTCTCACCCCCCTCCCAGCCCCCTGGTTCACAGTGCTGGTAGCGGCGTGGGTGCTGTGTGGGCTGGGCGTGGCCGCATGGCTGGTATACAAGAAGCACTCGCTGTACGTGAATCAAAGGGAGGAGGCGCTGGGCGTGTGGTGCAAGGAGCGCGCCCTCATGCTGCAGCAGCTCGTGCTCACCCATGTGGGGCAGATGCAGGTGAGGTTGGTAGAATGGGTTATTCTTACCTGCAGCATGAGTGCTCCTCTCATGCCCGCCTGCCCTCATGCTGCAGCAGCTCGTGCTCACCCATGTGGGGCAGATGCAGGTGAGGTTGGTAGAATGGGTTATTCTTACCTGCAGCATGAGTGCTCCTCTCATGCCCGCCTGCCCTCATGCTGCAGCAGCTCGTGCTCACCCATGTGGGGCAGATGCAGGTGAGGTTGGTAGAATGGGTTATTCTTACCTGCAGCATGAGTGCTCCTCTCATGCCCGCCTGCCCTCATGCTGCAGCAGCTCGTGCTCACCCATGTGGGGCAGATGCAGGTGAGGCTGCAGTGGTGTCAGGACACAACTGTCGTACTTACCCCTTGCAGCATGGGTTCTGCCCTCCACCCTCCCGCCCTCATGCTGCAGCAGCTCGTGCTCACCCATGTGGGTCAGATGCAGGTAAGGTTTGATTGGTGTCGACGCTATGTAAGGATTACTTCAACACCTTTCAATTTTCCATGTTCACTGTCTTGACTTCTTTCGTAATGTTGCTATTGCTGCTGCTGCTGCTGCTGCTGCTGCTGCTGCTGTCGTGTCATCGCGGTGCTTTGCCCTGCTCCCATCCACAGACACTGACCAGCATCATCTCATTTAGGGGCAAGCCGGGGCGGAGGGGCAAGTGTGCAACACCAACACGGTGCTATACATCTATGCCATTCAACTATGCTATTGCTTGACGTTCTTCCTGCCGTCTGTCCTCCCATCCCATGCACAGACACTGACAGGCATCATCTCAGTGATGGGAAAACCAGGGCGGAGGGGCAAGTGGGAGTTGGACACGTGTTTGAATGGCAGCACCTGGGAGGCTTACCTCACTCGCACTGCCTATGCCCGCCCAGGCAACACAGGGGCGACTGCTTGCGTCTTTGTCAGAGATGCGGAGAGGTGAGCTAGGGAAAGGGGATGCTTTGTTGTGTTTTGTTTACCTTACACCACTCATCCCTTTTGGGTGCCCTTTAGCGACAGTACGGTGTCATTACAGACAACACTCTTACCATCAATTGACTGTTTTGGTTTGTTTACCCCGCACCACACACACCATTGCAGGTCAGCATTTGAGCGCCAGTACGGCAGCATCAGGGACAACACTAAGAACGTCAGTGCCCACCGCCCCATCTACTGCCCCAAGATCCTCGATTTCTCCACAGTCGTGGCACTGAACGGGTCATGGAATATCGATCCCTTGAAGCGATTTCGCACAGAAATTCCACTTCTTGTGGCGGGAAAGCCACTTTACACGTGGCCGTATCCCATGGGAAGCCCTCCCGATCATACTGGATTCGGTGAGTCACGTTTAGAAATTATTTTTTAGCAGATCTGGTGAGCGAGTTATTGCTAGCTATGCTCCATGCCAAGTGACATACAACTTGCTTTCTTTGTTCAACTCTTGCCTCTGGGTTGGAGAACTGAGTAGAAATTGCTTGTCAGGGCAGCTTAAAGGAAACTGGGGCAGAGTGAAATATTATTATTTGGAGCTTCAGTTAAGGGAAGAGCTGGTGGGGCCAACATACTCTTAGAAGAAGTTAAGTGCCTCATTGTTTTGCCCTCACGTTGTCATTTCTGCAGGCTTGGGATTTCCTCTTCGGCGCAATGTGTCTCCGACCAGCACGAGCAAGGCAGCCGCGTCGACGGTGTATGGGACACTTGCTGCCTCCATTGACGTGACATCCATTGCACAGAAGGTCCTAGAGGAGCTGTATGCACCTGGTGAGTGCAGGGCTGTATACACCTTGTGCACTCACCGCGCACTACCACTCAAGGCTGCCAGTAGCAGCAGCAGTGTATGGGACACTTGCTGCCTCCATTGACGTGACATCCATTGCACAGAAGGTCCTTGAAAGGCTGTGTGCACCTGGTGAGTTCCAAACCAAAGCTGCATGTACAAGGTTGACTCCCCCACATTACTGTGTGGCAATGGATGTGCTCAGCCGAAGGATGAAAATATCATAGGCGTTTCAAAAATGGGTTTAATTCAAAGTTTCATGTACAAGGTTGACTCGGTAATATTGTGTGGCAATGGATGCTGCCTTGGCTGAAGGATGAAAGTTTGTCTGAACAAAGTGGAAGCTGGGTCCCTTATGAGTTTCCATTCTTATTATCAAATGGTGTAGAACTTTGAGATGAATGTCGACCATTTGATGAGACTTGAGAGTTGGTCGGGAGTGCTTTTGAGGTGCTTCTTAATAGCAAAGTGTGACCCCCACCACCCTCTCCCCTTCGCCCTCCATCCAGACTCATGAAAATCATTCGATATGTATGATGTCACCGACCCATCGTCTCCACCATCCTCTCAAGTTTTGCGATGTCTCAAAACAACCCCCATTTCCCCGTCCCCCCTCCATCCAGACTCATCAAAATCATTCGAGATGTATGACGACACAGATCCGTCTTCTCTCTTCGCCATTGTCTCGCCAGTCCCGCCGCACACCTACTTCCGCCCTGACGACTCTCGCTCCTACATGCTTCCCTCTCCTCTCTCCGAAGCCCGCCCCTGGGAGGGACCGACCGTGGTGCCTCTTGCTGAGCTAGGAGCAGGCGTGCGCCAGTACGAGGCTTGGTGCAGGTAAGTGAGCTTATATAAGCATTTATATACATAAATATATACATAAAAAAGGTGGCGCAGCACCACCAGTGCCCAGCATTGATGGCACAATACATGCATTCACATCCTTCCTCATCTCACACAATATCGCGTATGCCATGTATTGTTTTCTATATTCTGCTATGCATCCGCATGATTGTCCCATACGTCCCTCTTATTCTCCCTCATTCAGGCACACCCAACCTCCCAACATGTGGCAGCCATGGGGCATCCCCATCCTCATCGCCCTTTTTACCCTCCTCCTTGTGCTGCTCGTGTTGGTGGCGGCATGGATTCAGCGGGCCCAGTACTTCCAGACGCAGCAGCAGATGGCAGACGCTGATAGGCTGAGGATGCAGAGGCTTCAAAGAGCATGTTTGTGGCGAGCATGTCGCATGAGCTCAGGACGCCAATGACGGGGATCATTGGTAAGATCAATTGCTTGTTACATTGTCATTGTTGTTGTTTGTTTCGGCCGCCGCATGCTGTTGCCCAAGGTCCGTCAATTTTTTACAATATTTTACCAGAAGTCAAGATGGCGCTTCGCAACCACAAAATCAAAGGTCGAACATACCATATGGTCACCCATATTGTATAACATAAAAAACCGAGGTAAGAATGTCTAACTGTTTGAAATCTTGTCACTTGGTCGATCTTGGTCAGAATGAAATGATCTAAGTATCCTTTGAAAGCTTTGAATTTCTCCTGCACGATTTTGCATGTAAACTTACAGAAAAATATCTGACATAACAGAATTCAACAGTCATGCATGATAAGGTTTGCTCATGCAAGCAATGTAAATATGAATAACATGCGCACTGGGCAGGACGTTAGGATGATATGCACTTAGAATGACGCACATTCAACACATGCAAGTCGTAAAATAATGTTCTAAGCTTCTTACATCTCAAACGTTAATCCAAAACCCTTAACCATACGGTGGTCTAGGTATCTCACATGACTTGCGAGGCTCGTCCACGTAACCTTCTCCATGATACCATACAAATTGATAAAATGTTGTTTTTGAGTCTGCCCATAAAGAATTTTCCATCCCGTGGCCGTACTTCCCCGTGGTACCCTACAAATTCCTTTCAACACCCCTCTCTCCCACCAGGCATGCTCGATGCACTCGCGGACGTGACTCTCCTCGTGACACACATACACCCTTCATCTTACTTTATCGCTCTCTCCTACCAGGCATGCTCGATGCACTCGCAGACATGACTCTCCAACCCTCCAAGTTATCACACCTTCCACATCCTCATCACACCATACCCCCTTTCTCTTACTTTATCGCTCTCTCCCACCAGGCATGCTCGATCCCTCACGGATATGGCTCTCCAGCCTCCTGAGCTGGCAGACCTCCTCACAGCGCGGGGGTGTGCGATGGATGCACTGCATCTGGTCAACCGCGTGTTGGACCTGGCGAAGCTGGAGGCAGGCAAGGCAGTGATGGATGAGACTGTGGTTGACGTGCGGGAATGGCTGGATGCTGCGTTGGACTGGCATGTAGAGGCGGCATGATCCAAAGGGATTGAATGTGAGTGCAAAAATACATTTGCCGATTTCCAGGTTTTATGTCTCAAAACATGAGTATGAATGGATGTGATATTTCCTATTCCTGTGGTAATTACAGATTTTTGTGGGGATCAATTCGCCCTTTTGCTGTGGGTTGATTTTGAAATTTCTCGAAACCCGCCTACTCGCATTGGTTATCCTCTCATGTGCTCCTTGGGATGCTTTTAATGGTTGAGCATTTTTGCTCAAATGAGATGGATATTTCTAAAAGTTATTCCTCAGATATCATAGGTTCCCTGAATTGCATGTCTATATGCAGACTTTAAGCCTTTCTCGTTTCGGATTTCCACCCACCTTGTTTCTCCACCCCCTTTAGTTTGTGGCACGGTGGATGACGATGTTCCCATCTACATTACTGCCGACCCAATGCACCTCTCCAAAGTTCTCAAAGAAACGATAGGTATGTGTATGTGGAAGGCTTGTGACGTGATAACTGTAACAATTGTACCTTACGTGGTAATATTCATGCCCACGTGCCCAATCCGAACCGGTTCCCCCGAACCGCCTCCATATGTCAGGTCGGGTGGTCGAACCGAACCCGAACCGATTTCGGTCGAGCAGTTATGTACCTTCGGCTGATTGGAGTCACTTTTGAATATTCCCTAAAGCTGTGTCCCCAAGCCCAACTGTGTTAAAGGTGCACACAACAAATGTCTTTGATGCTTGCGTCGAATTTGATGAGGAATGCCGTCATCAGCTGACTTTTGAATAATAAACTCAAATTGGTGGCAGTACGCAAAGAGCACCTCGCGTTGGCTCACGTGCTCCTGTGTGAAATGCACTGTGATGGCTAGTTTGAGTGGTTTATTCGATGCCTCGAGCCCACAACACATATTGCTATCCCAGACCGATTCAACAAAAGTGCATTGGACGAGTTTTGGGGCAAGGAACTGGCAAAGGAGACAATCTTGTGCAATGAACAATGCAAGTGCGCTGTATGAACAATGAATTAGTGCGTTGTTAGCGGTTTCTGATCTGAGTGAGGCCAGGCCTTCCCACTGCAAAGTCATTGGTTATGGGTACCGATTGCCGATTGTCCTTCCTCAATCGACACTGTCAGCGGTTGTGTGCTCGTGTTCCGTTCCTCAGCCGTTCATGAGTTAAAAAGTTCTTTTGTGTTTTTATATTTTTTTCCTGTAAACCACACCATCGCCCCTTTGATTGTTTCAGATAACGCAGTGAAGTTCACAGAGCAAGGCCATGTGACAGTGCGGGTGTCCCTAGTTCCGCAGGGGACAAGCTTGCAAGACACCCTTCATCTCCAGGGTAAGCAACTTTGTGACCATTGACACTCACATTCCAAGCTCGCTATATGAATAACCCTTGCTCACTTCGTTACACCGTCACTAATTCCTTCTCTCCCCTGCACTTTGCGCTCACCTGCTCCTCCAGGCCTTTCCACAGCCACCCCTCACACACCCACTGCCACTCTCACCAGCCGATCTGCTGCCTGGTCTTGCTCGGTCTTTGACCAGCTGAAGAAGGCTTTCGCGCAATTGCCAGCAGCAGCAGCAGCTAGTGTGTCTTGCTCACCCTTTTTCCGGCTCAAGGAGATTGAAGCAACAAGGGCATTGCCAGCAGCACCAGAAGCAGCAAGTGCATCGAGCAACACATTGCGTGAAGCGAGGGTGGGGAGGGGGAATGGCAGGAGTCCGGAGCAGCGAGATGGGCAGCGGCAGCGCCCCGGTGTGCTGGTGGTGTCGTGCCGGGACTCGGGGTGCGGCCTGCCAGCGTCTCTCTTGGGAGTCCATGGCAGGGGGCAGCCTTCGCACTTCTCACTCGCAGTAAGTAGTTGTTATCAGCCCTGCCGGTGCTGGTGGTGTCGTGCCGGGACTCGGGGTGCGGCCTGCCAGCGTCTCTGCTTGGAGTTCAGGGCAGCGGGGGGGCGTCGCACTTCTCACTTGCGGTGAGTGACTTTTGGGACGTCTCAAAAGCCGTGTCTGCTCGAAGTTCAGGGCAGCAAGGAGTGGTCGCACTTCTCACTTGCGGTGAGTGAGAATGAAAGACTACTAGTGGTGTCGCTCACCTGTTGGTAGTGGGATTCAAGGAGTGGCCTACCACCGTCTCTCCTCCGAGTTCAGAGAAGAGGGGAGGCCTCACGGTGAGAATCAAACCTCTCGTTCGCTCTTCCTTCCTTCTGTCCCTCGTCTTTATTGCCTGTTGCTCATCTTGTTTCTTTTCCATTTATAAAATAACATGGCATGGCATGGCATGGCATGGCACGGCATGGCATGGCACGGCATGGCACGGCATGGCATGGCACGGCATGGCATGGCACGGCATGGCATGGCACGGCACGGCACGGCACGGCACGGCATGGCATGGCACCCCACCATGCAGGAGTTGCATGAGGTGGGGAGTGGATCTGGAGCATCGCTTGGGCTTGTGCTCATGCACCAGATGGTGAATGGTTTGAACTGTTGTTGCTGCTTGTTCGCTGGTTTCTTCTTTGTCCACATCCTTTTCCAAAAAACGTCGTACTCTTAGCCGGAATAAGTGCAGTTGGTATTTTATAAGGTGTGCTATTTTCTGTTACATAAACCGCAGGTGACTCTAATGAAGGGAGAGATCATCTTTGATTCCCAGCCTGGCTGTGGCTCCACTGTGGCGTTTTCCGTGCCCGTGGCCGTTCCCTCGCTACAAGAACACCCCTTGATACAAGAACACTGCCCAGACGAGAAACCACAAGTGTTGCAATCGCAAGAATTGCAGAGTCAGCTGCAGCAGCAGCAAGGGGAGGCGTCATGTTTCAGTGAAACAGGGTCAGGTGATTGTTCAGGTGTTGGCAGCAGTATGCAGAAACATGATTCAGAACCAATGGGGCAGTGCCAAGAGATGGCTCTGCCTACGCAGCACAGCCAGGAGAATTCCCAGGTGGTTCAACAGAAATCCAACCAGCAGTCACATCAGCATCCGCAGCAGCAGCAGCAGCAGCAGCAGCAGTTGCAGCAGCAGAAACCACGGCAGCAGCGGCAACGATCTCTGGGGATGGTGAGGGCGGGCAGTGCAGGAGAAGTTTCGACAACATTCGAAAGAAGAGCAGGAGGGAGAGCGAGCGACAGCTTTCGTCGATCCATGACTGTAGCTGCAACCACTGCCGCAACTGCCGGGCTGCGGGCGGCAGCAGATGAGGCGGTGACACATGAGTGGGTGGGGGGGCTGCGAGTGCTAGTGGTGGACGACACGCCCGTCAACCTTTTGAGGCGCCTCAAAATGCACCTCACTGCTCGCGGATTTCATACGGAGAGGATTATTACAGCTTGGAAGTGTGCGTGTAACTTGCAAAAGTTACTGGTGCGCGCGCGGTTACATCAACGAATTGGTTGACGAAGACTTTTCTCGAAGGCTGACTTTGCACCCTGGGTGTACCCCATTTGCTTTGTTGGCCGAGTGCATGTCACTCTGGGTAGTCGACTGTACATATGTAGATCTCGAGGGCATTTTGCTAGCTACTTAGCTTGCTTCTGTCCGAACTCTTTCTCTTTTGTGGATCTGAGTCACACTGATGAAGGCTAAGCGGGTATGATCCCCGTAAGCCGAAACATGTTTGTGCTGTAAGGATTCTCTTTAGTGAAGGGGTTTTACGGTTTCTACTGAACGTTTTTCCAGGAAAGATTTTTTCAGTTTCGTTTCCTTTTGTTGCTTTAAGCGCCACTCTTTAGAATTGCTGCTCTTCCACTATGAGCGAAGACCCTTGGGACACTGAATGGTTTCCATCTGAAGAGGAAGACGCCGATTCTGAAGAACGCAACTCGTTGAAGAGGCAACGTAGGAGTGGAAACAAGTCGCGTTCTGCTCGAAAGGCTTCCGGGCAGCAGCAGACCGGCAACAAATTTCCGCAGCTGGCGTTAACCTACGAACCGATTCTACGAAGTGAGCAACCACGTGATCCTCCCGCTGGACCTTCGCGAATTCGTCCTACCGTCATGGCGGAATCCACTGGTGCGACTCCCATCCAGGATCCTTTCAAGGGATGGCTTGCGGAAGCAGTGAGAGATTTCCGGGATGATTTCAAGAAGCTGCTTAAGGCGAAAAGCAAGCTTAAGAAGATGATGGAACTCGATGCTGAAGGCACGATTCTGCATAGCATCCGTACTAAAGCTGTCGATTTCCAGACTAACATTGACTCTGTCAGGGAGAAAGCTAAGGCGTCCGTTGCTGAAATCCATCTGCAGAATCAGAAGCGGATCCAGGCAGAGTTTATCGCCTCGAAAGCACTGGAGGTTGAGGAGATCGCGAAGGCGGCTAACTCGCGTATCACTGCTCTGGCGACAAGGATGGAGGATTACATATAGGGGCTGAGTGCGGATCCGGACCTGGTGGTGTCTGACGCTGCCAAGGAGAAGTTTCGTCTACTCAAAGGATTCTGCATAGAGAAAGCCCAAGCCGACATCGCTGCTGCCAAGGATGAACTTACCATCCGGGAGCTGGATAGACAACGCAAGAAAGCCGCCGAGGATTTGAAGAAAGCTGCTGCGTCTGAGGAGGTGCAGGAGATGGAGCTAGAACCTGCGTTAGAGGAGATTCTCGCGAAGCAGGTTAAGAAGATTGAAGACAAGCTTCGCAAGGAAATTACTGCGAAGGTTGAGGCCAGTCTTACGAAGAAACTGCAGAAGAATCTCTCTCTTAAGGAACAAGACCCTGCGCAGGCCACTGCTGCCAATCCGAAGCAGAAGAATACGGCGGGAAAGCAGAAAATTCAGGAGAATGGCAACGCTGCACCTGCTGGATCGAAGCGGAGGAGGAAGCGGGGTGGGAAGAAAAAGAATCAGAAGCAGAATTCCGGCACCGACAAAGACAAGCAGGCGGGAGGCCCTGTCAAATCTGATGCGGCCAAGGGACCAAAAAACGGCGGAGGCGGCCCCGAAAAAGGGCCGCGCAAGAAGAACTAACCAGCCATGAGCTGGCTCTCCGTTGGTTTGGACGGCTGACGCCTCGGCAAGCTGCGTTGCGCGTCCAAAACCGCGGAGTACACAACCTTAGCGCTAAAATCTTATCTTCGGATGAGAAGACAGCGCTAGGGTTGGGTTTGAAGTTCATCCCCACGCCCACCGTTTCCCTTTCGGCCGGAATTGAGCTCGATCAGCTTTTCCGGCAGATCTCGTTACATTTTTTCTTCAAGGATGCGGACGGTCCACTTAGGGATTCGCGGTTTCGTGTGCATAACCCGACGTGGCTGCCCGATCGGATGGTGATTCCGGAGCAGGTCTTCAAGGACTCGTCTTCTGACTTGTCCGTCTTGTTGAAGGCATCTCAGCCTGACCGACGTCGGAATCTTTCAGCTGGCGTTAGGAAGGCGTCGCGCACCATCGCTGCGGATCGAGACGTGGTGATTAAACCGGCTGACAAAAATGTTGGGATTACCGTGATGGATCGGGGACATTACATTCGGTTGTGCATGGAGCACCTTGGTGACAGCACGACTTACTCTCTGCTCTCTCACGATCCTACCGCCGATGTCTACCGGAAGCTACGTGAACTGCACAGCGTTTGGGGCCCTGCTCTTCCCGAAACTTTGTGGAAGTATTTTTTCAACCAGCCGCCTGGAGGGTGGAAGCCCGCGGCCTTCTACATCTTGCCGAAGCTGCATAAGAAGAAGCTTGTGGGGCGCCCGATCGCCGCCTCACACTCATGGGTGACTTCGAACGTTAGCCGTTGGCTCGATGCTGAACTACGACCGTGGGTACTGCAGCAGCAGACATACCTCCGTGATTCCCTCTCGCTACTCTTGAAGCTGGAAGAAACCGCCTTCCCGAAAGGGATCTTCCTAGCCACCTACGACGTTACTGCTCTCTACCCCAGCATTCCTCTTCAGAGAGGTATCGACGCAGTGAGTAGCATTCTTCAGAGTGGGAAGTACCATAATCACCTCCCGGTCATCGCCTTGCTGGAGTGGGTGATGATGAACTCTGTTGTTGAGTTCGACGGCCAGTTGTACTTACAGCGACAAGGAACTGCTATGGGAACTCCTGCAGCAGTGTGTTTCGCGGTGCTGTTTATGAGCCGTCTGGACGAGGTGCTGAAACACAGGTGGTCCGGGACGCAGCCGTTGTGCCACGTGAGATACATCGATGATGGCTTCATTGTTTGGCCAGGTTCTCGGAGTGAGTTGGAGTGCTATCTCAGCACTTTCAACGGTTTGGATCCCAACATCAAGTTGACGTGGCACATCTCGGACTCCTCGGCTGACTTTCTTGATATGGTCATCTTCAAGGGACCACGTTTTGCCGAGAAGGGTAACCTGGATCTGAAGACATTTCAGAAACCCATGAATAGTTACCTGTACCTGCCGTTTTCTTCTTACCACCCGCGACACTGCAAGGTTAGCTTCATCCGTGCAGAACTGAGACGGTACCTGTTACGCTCGACATCTGCCAAAGCTTTCCTAGCCTCTAAGCACGAATTTTTCCATCGGCTTAGACGTCGCGGTTATCCTGGGGACTTTCTTCTGCCCATTTTTCGGAGTGTGTTCTTCCGAAACCGCCCTCTCCTTTTGGAGACTACTGCTGCGCGCCAAGCTCACAAGCTCATCCCTCTCCCCCAACGCGGACCCCTGGACTTGAAGGTTCTGTTCACTCCGGTGACAGCTCGCCTCAGGCTGGGGGTCCTTTTGAGGCGCCTCAAAATGCACCTCACTGCTCGCGGATTTCATACGGAGAGGATTATTACAGCTTGGAAGTGTGCGTGTAACTTGCAAAAGTTACTGGTGCGCGCGCGGTTACATCAACGAATTGGTTGACGAAGACTTTTCTCGAAGGCTGACTTTGCACCCTGGGTGTACCCCATTTGCTTTGTTGGCCGAGTGCATGTCACTCTGGGTAGTCGACTGTACATATGTAGATCTCGAGGGCATTTTGCTAGCTACTTAGCTTGCTTCTGTCCGAACTCTTTCTCTTTTGTGGATCTGAGTCACACTGATGAAGGCTAAGCGGGTATGATCCCCGTAAGCCGAAACATGTTTGTGCTGTAAGGATTCTCTTTAGTGAAGGGGTTTTACGGTTTCTACTGATCGTTTTTCCAGGAAAGATTTTTTCAGTTTCGTTTCCTTTTGTTGCTTTAAGCGCCACTCTTTAGAATTGCTGCTCTTCCACTATGAGCGAAGACCCGTGGGGGGGCTGCGAGTGCTAGTGGTGGACGACACGCCCGTCAACCTCCTCGTGGCCCGCCGCTCCCTCGCCCGCTGGGGGGCACACGTGACTACTGCTTCCCGTGGGGAGGAAGCAGTGGATTTGATTGCGGCTGGCTTACAGGAGTGCTCCCTCGCCCGCTGGGGCGCCCGAGTCACCACTGCCAACCACGGGCAGCAAGCAGTCGACTTGATCGCTGCTGGCTTGGAGGAGTGCTCCCTCTCCCGCTGGGGGACCCGAGTCACCACCGCCTCCCCTGGGAAGGAGGCAGTTGACTTGATCGCTGCTGGCCTGGACTCCTCCGCTGCCCACGAGGAGGAAGAGAGAGGGGAGGAAACACATGGAGAAGAGGGAAGAGGGCATGAGGAGGATAAAAGGCAGCAGGAGACAAGAGGGCAGCAGGAGGGAAGAGGTCAGCAGGAGGGAAGAGGGCAGCAGGAGGCGCGTGCATCATTGCAGCATGCATTCGACCTAGTTCTCATGGACCTGCAAATGCCGGGCATGGACGGGTGCGTGGTTTTGAGTGGTGGTGAGTGGTGTGCATGGCTGGGTGTGTCATGAACGTGAGGGAACGTGAGTACTTATACTCCTCCCTTCCTCCTGTTCCTCCCTTCCATTCTGTTCCCACTTCATCCCTTCCTTTCTGTTCCCACTTCATCCCTTACTTCTGTTCCCACTTCATCCCTTCCATTCTGTTCCCACTTCATCCCTTCCATTCTGTTCCCACTTCATCCCTTCCATTCTGTTCCCACTTCATCCCTTCCATTCTCTTCCCACTTCATCCCTTCCTTCCGTTCCTCCATTGCCATGGCAGCTTCGCAGCAGCAGCGGCCATAAGAGCCCTTGAGAGAAGGGTCGAGTTTGAAGCCTTTTCAAGGGCACAACAACTGCAGAAGCAGAGGCAGCAGCGCACCCCTTCTGCTCTGCCCGTCCCACCCCTCGAAGCTTCAAACCCTGCTGCTGCTGATGCATGGTTCGGCTCTCTACGGGTGCCCATAGTGGCTCTGACAGCGGACGTGGATCGCGGAGTGGTGCAGAGGTGTGCAGAGGGGGGGTTTGACGGTGTGCTGCAGAAGCCAGTGGATGCCCACCTGCTCGCCGCCCACCTCGAGCAAATAAGCTTCCTCCGATCCAGCAGCCAATAATATCTGAGGCAGCTCACAGCAAAGACCACCTGCTCGCCGCCCACCTCTCCCACATGCACCCCCAGAGGTCCTTCCCACGAACTGTGTCACAGCCCACTGTCAGTCAGACCATAAACAGACACAACAGATGCGGCAGTCAGTAATCTTTGAAAGCGCTGACTCAAATGCCACCTCTCCAACATGCACCCCCAGAGGTCCTTCCCACGAACTGTGTCACAGCCCACTGTCAGTCGAACCATTAACGGGCACGACAGATGCAGCAGTCGATTATTCGACAGTCGTTATTATGAGAAGGTACTCACAACACACTTGGGCTGTTTCACTACATCCCTCGACCATTCCCACACTCCCACTACTGACACACACATACGGCACATGATGTTTTTGTGTCAACTAGAAAATCCACTCAGGATGTTTCATGACATTCCCCCGACCACCCCCACACTCCTGCTACCCACACAGACCACGGCACGTGAAGCAGCCGGTGATGTTTCCACGGCTTAAAGCCCTCTTGAAATTATTCGATGCCTTACAACACTGACCGGTACCATAGACACGCCAGACCCTGAAAATGTCACACTGGCTCAGCTCGCCAGCTGGTGGTGACCCAGCTCGCTGGCTGAAAACAGCTGCCGAGATTCTGACGGACTTGGAGTGCATACAGGATGCGCGAGTGGGATCCTGTGCCCGTAGGCCTCATCGATTTTTTAGTCGACTCAGAAATCAACTTGTAGCCACGTGTAGAGGGTGCTTTTGAGACGTCTCAAAAACAAGTCGACTCACAAATCGACTTATCACATCCTATGCCCAAAGGCCTCATCTCTCGCCCCTTGAAAACGTGTGTGCGGTATCTCCACCGATATGACGTTGACATCAGCAAGAAAAGGAATGCTCAAGGTGGGGTTCATGTTGACAATGGGGAATGCTCAAGGGGTGGAGTTCATGTTGACAATGGGGAATGCTCAAGGTGGAGTTCATGTTGACAATGGGGAATGCTCAAGGTGGAGTTCATGTTGACAATGGGGAATGGTCAAGGATAGCTTTCATAGTTCACTAGGCAGGCAATTATTGATGCAAGTTGTTGGATAGCTTCAGTCTAATGGGCTAACCATAGTCAACATTTGCTGAATACTTGAGCACCCCTTGCAAGCAACTTTGTGTCTAAGCTCTCCCATAATCGCCTATTCTCCGCACAGCAGCAGGCTATCGCGCCAGCATTAACAGGTGATCACCCCCGCTGCAGCAGGGACAGTTTCCATGCCAACGTAATGAGAGGAGTGGCGAAGGATTTAGACGTGCGATGATACAACGTTGTGATTAGCTTGGGGGAATGGGCAATGCGAGTAGTGAGAGGGTTGAGAGACAAAAAAAACAATGTGGATTACCCGTACAATAGAGGCTTATAAAGCTACAATCCACTACATTATACTGTAGACAGTTTATATACATTGGAAACACATAAATAAATATTTTCTTTTTTCACGAGGCTCACAATGTCTCAAAGTCTACATGCAACGGAATGATTGGAATTAGGGTTTGCAAGCATACAAATAGGAGTCCTACAAATGTTGTACCCTTTAGGGAGTGCCTCACTGCAGCCTATCATAACATTAACATTTGACACACCCCCATAGGCTAAGTGAGGGACACCAGGGCAAGCAAGGTGAAAACAAACGGTCACAAGACCAGTCAAGGCAAGACAAGCTCAGGGTGGAGCTCAAGGACACCACACAAATTCCGAGCACAAGCAAGTGGCCACAAGGCCAGTTCAACAGTTCACTAGGATATAAATATGAAAACACAACAAGCAGAGCAAGCAACAAGACTACAGCAACCGGGGGCCTACCTCAACAAGCCCCAACTGCACACAGAACCTGTGGTGATCACCAGGCGCCAAGGCCTTGGTGAAGACGTCTGCAGTGTTGGCCTCTGAGGCCACAAAGTCCAGGCGTGCCTGGCCGCGTCGCTGCAGCTCTCGCAGGAGGAAGTACCTCACGTCAATATGCTTTACTCTGCTCTCCAGTCGCGGCTCTCGACACAGGAGGATCATGGCCTTGTTGTCAGCATACAAGGTCGGTGCAGAACGAGGCCGCTCACCAAGGTCGGTGAGCAAGAAGGTCAACCAACGAAGCTCCTGTGCCGCCATGGCACCAGCGTAGATCTCTGCCTCTGCACTGGAAGTAGCCACAGACGACGACCGAGTAGACCTCCACGACACAGCACCAGCTCCCAGACTGAAGCAGTAACCCTGAGTCGAACGCTGAGTCTCCACGTCGTCAGCGTAGGAAGAGTCGCAGTGCCCAGTCAACGCCACTGGCTGAGTCCCTCCAAGCACAAGCCCCATGCCTGATGTAGTCGCCAGGTACTTCGCCACCCTCACAGCAGCTGTCCAGTGGACAGGACGGTGTCTCCCAGTCGCAACAAAGCGAGAGAGGACGCTGAGAGGAAAGGCGAGGTCCGGCCGAGTACAAGTCATCAGGTACATGAGGCAGCCCACCAGCTCTGCGTAGGGACCACTGGACTCAAAAGGCTCGTCGGGAAAGGGGCCAGTGAGTCTGTGGTCAACAGCAAGAGGAGTGGGCTGTGTGGTGGAGAACTGGAAGTCGAACCGCCGAAGGACCTGCTGCACCATGTGTGACTGCGTCAGTGTGATGGTGCGAGCGGCTCTGTCCCGGGTGATCTGCAAGCCAAGGTAACGCTGCAGCTCACCCAGGTCAGTGCACTTGTGTCTCTTCTGCAGTTCGAACTTCACCTGAGCCAGGGCTGCCCTGTCTGCTGTAGCAAACACCAAGTCGTCGACGTAGACAAGGATAAAGAAAGGAGTAGAACCCGCTCGAACAAACAGCGACGGGTCGGCGGAGGACGGGCTGAACCCAAGGTCACGAAGCGTGGAGCGAAGAGTGTCGTGCCACTCACGGGGCGACTGGCGGAGACCGTAGACTGGTCGCCTCAGGCTCCACTGGGTCCCTGGTGGGAAGGTGTCAGTGAAACCAGGAGGACGGCGCAGCCAGATCTCCTCGTGCAGTCGGCCCTGGAGGAACGCAGTGGAGAAGTCGAGGGAGTGCAGCTCGTAGTCTCGCTGCGCTGCTATGTGGAGTAACACCCGAAGAGTAGTCATCTTCGGGGTCGGGGCGAAGGTCTGGAAGAAGTCAACTCCCTCACGCTGACTGAAGCCCCTAGCCACGTAGCGCGCCTTGAACACCGGCGGTGCTCCAGGCGGCCGCTTCACCTTGAAGAGCCACATGCCATCGACTACGTTCGCCCTGGGAGGGGGAACTGCGTCGACGTAGGTGCCTGTGGATCTCCAAGACGCCAACTCTGAGTCCATAGCCGCTTTCCACTGAGAGGCCCACGCCCCTGACACTGCCTCGCGGTAAGTGCGAGGAGTCGGTATGTCAAGGGCGTCGGGGTCTCCCTCAGGGGAGAGCAGCATGGCACACACAGAGGGAGAAGCGGCTGCCCAGTACTCCAGCTCAGACTCTCTGTCCTCTAGGACGTCACAGCCAAGGGCAAACTCACCCCCGACGGACAGAGGACGGTAGGGAGGAGCTGGCACCACACGGGTGGCGTAGTCAAGGCGGCTGGCGGCAGCAAACTCAGCGACAGCGGCAGTGAGAGCAGAGACCGACGACGGAGGGAAACGAGAGTCGGTGACAAGAGTGGCGAGGACACGTGCGGCAACAGGACGAACAGCGCGGTAGTAGTCGGTGATAGGAGTGGGGAGGGAAGGGAGAGAGGACGGAGGAGGAGACGGGAGAACGGACTCAGGAGAAGGAGAACGACGACGAGACGAACAAAGGAGGGCAGTGTGGAGGTCAGTAACAGGGGACGAGTGACGAGCACGCGGCGAACAACGGGTGACCAAGTCGCGACGGACAGAAGGAGGAGGAGACTGTGGAGGAGGAGAAGACCAGACCGCCGGACGGTCGTCAGGAGGAGGCAACGGAGAAACAAACACAGGAGGAGACTGGGAGCGGACAGGAGGAGAGGAGGAAAGGCCAAGGGCCCGCAGGCCACTCACAGGTGGGAACAACTGCCGCTCAAGAGGAAGCTGCGGAGGCGGCTGCTGCTGCTGCTGCTGCGGCTGCGGCTGCTGCTGCTGCGGCTGCTGCTGCTGCTGCTGCTGCTGCTGCTGCTGCTGCTGGCGCTGCTGCTCCAGAAGGTCCAGCACCCGCAGCTCCTGCCGCTCCCTCTCCAGCCGCTCCTGCTCCTCACGCTCACGCCGACGGGCAGCCTGGAGACGCGTGTCGTGGCGGTGGGGAGGCGGAGTGGACTCCGCAGAACCAGGGCCTCCAGCGTCAGTCTCCTCAGACTCAGCTCCCCCAGAACTAGCACCGCCAGCGCCAGCACCTCCAACTCCAGCACCCCCAGAACTAGCACCTCTAGTGCCAGTACCTCCAGCTCCAGCACCCCCAGAGCCAGCGCCACCTGCGCCAGCACCTCCAGCTCCAGCACCCCCAGAGCTAGCGCCGCCTGCGCCAGCACCTCCAGCTCCAGCACCCCCAGAGCTAGCGCCCCCAGACCGAGCACCGCTAGAAGCTGCACCTCCAGCTCCAACACCAACCGAGTCCACAGGAACCTGTCGCGGAAGCGCCGAAGGCTGCTGAGGGGGCTGTGAGGAGGACTGCGGGGAGGGAGACGCTACCTGACGCGCGACCGAGGGTAGAGGGGTAGCGTGAGACACACCAGACGGGGCAGGACCAGGGGGGGGCAGGGGTACCGGAGGAGCGGGAGCAGGAGGAGGAGAGGGTGCGAGGAAAAGAGGGGGAGGGGGTACCGGGAGACCTCGACAAGGGTACCGGGTGTAGTAGGACACGGACTCGTCAAACCGGACGTCACGGGAGTCTAGGAACTGGTGGAGGGGCGGGTGGTAGAAGGACCAGTCGGCCGAGTCTACCGGGAAACCAAGGAAGACACAGGGAATGGCGCGTGCCGAGAGCTTGTCCGCAGAGGTGTCGCGGACCTGCGCAAGGCAGCCCCAGACTCGAAAGGCCGACCCGACACCAGGGGAACCAGTCCAAAGACTGGTCGGTGAAGCCTCGGGCCGCGAGACACGCGGCTGGAGGTTCAGCTGGTGTGCGGCGTAGCGAACCGCGTGGGGCCACAGAAAATGGGGCGCACGGGCATGGATCATGGACGTGCGGGCGATGTCCATGACCAAGCCTATGCGGCGCTCAGCAACCCCATTCTGCTGTGGGGACTCTGGCAGAGTCCAGGACTGGGTGATGCCCTGTTCGCCGCAGAATCCGCCGAGAATGCCGGAGCGAAACTCGCCCCCACGGTCGGAGTGGAGACAACTGACTCGACGACCACGAGTGCCCTCAGTGGCTAGAAGCCACCTGATCAGCGTAGCAGTCACCTCGGACTTCTTCGCAAGAGGGAACACTGTGGTGTACCTGGAGAAGTCGTCGACGACCACCAGAAAGTAACGCTCCCTCCCAGACCCCTGCGTCGGGGCAGGGCCCCAGACGTCCAAGTGGAGAGTCTCGAAGGGAGCGGTGGCCGGACGAAGGGAGGAGGAGTGGGGAGTGGCGCGTAAGCGACCGGCGACGCACGGAGAGCAAGGAGGGGCAAGCGAGAGAGGGAGCGACGGGAAGGTGCGTGGGAGACCTGTGACTAGTCCGTGACTGAGCATGCCACGAAGGCGAGGGATCGACGGGTGGCCAAGACGGTGGTGCCACAGAACGGTGCGGTGGGCGAGAGAGCGACAGGAGCAAGACGCAGCGACTGGACTGGACACAGCGACCGGACTGGACACGACTACCTGGCTAGACACAGCCACTGGACTGGGGACCTGGGTCGGAGGGGACGCAACAACCGGAGGGGAGGACGCGACCGGGGAGCGCTCGGTGTGGAGAACGTAGAGACCGGAGCGGGGCTCCCTGGTGAACGTGGCCAGAACAGCACCTGTGGTAGCGTCAGTACAGACTGCAGTCCGCCCACCCCCCAAGAAGGTAACCGTGATCCCCCTGTCCTGAAGGTATCCAACACCCACCAAGTTCCGAGTGAACGAGGGGATGTGGAGGCCACGCAGGACACCAGAGGGGACCACAGGGCACGGGAGGGTGGTGGAGCTACGCGCAACGGCTGGTCCAGAGGTAGGATCAGCCAGAGCCACCGACACAGGTGTGAGGAGAGGCGTAAGGGTCGTGCGGTCGCGGAAGAAACACTGAGACGCGCCCGAGTCCAGCGTGAACGAAAGAGAGGCCTCAGCCGGTGGGTCACTCGACCCAGTCGCTACACAAGCACCTAGAGCAGCAACACAAGCACCTAATCTAGACAGGCACAAGGCTACACTAGCAGGAGGCAAGCAGTCTAACCTACGAACACGCGAGCACACAGATCCATCAGCACTAGAGTCAGCATCAACATACAAAGCATATTGACGCGCATCGTCCATGGACAAAGCAAATACATCAATCTTACGGGCTAACAGACGAGACCAGCGAGGCGTGCTCGCCAAAGGGCCCCAACGAGCCCGGTAGAGGTCGTCGAGGCGGCGGAAGCACCGCGCGGCAGAGTGGTCGTCGCGACCACAGAGACAGGGGCTACCCGGCCCGGTGACGCACCAGTGAGTGCACGGGCCAGCGTCACGGCGAGGGGGGCGAGGGGCCCAGCTGGAAGTACTGCTGCTGCGGCTGGTGCTCCCAGGGCCTCCCGGACCCCACTGCGGCGGGGGACCCCAGTGCTGCTGCGGACCCCACTGCAGCGGGGGCCCCCACTGCTGGAACTGCTGCGGTGCCTGCTGCTGCTGCTGTCCCTGCTGCTGCTGCTGTCCCTGCTGCGGGTGGTGCTGCTGTGGCTGCTGCTGCTGTGGGGGAACGCCCCCACCGGTCGGGCCTCCACCTGTGGGTGGGCCTGTCTGTCCAGCACCTCCTCCAGGGCCCCCTCCCCCTGGTGCACCACCGCCGCCGCCTCCGCCGCCTCCGCCACCACCGCCGCTCCCACCTCCACCGCCACCTCCACCGCCGCCTCCACCGCCCCCACCTCCCCCCTTTCCGCCCTTCTTGCCACTCTTGCCCCGTTTCTGCCAGTCTGCGGCAGAAACGGCAGCGGTGTCCTCAGAAACCGACACAGCAGCAGAAGCGCGGGTAGCAGTGAAAGTGGGAAGCTGAGGGGCGGCACACCCCGCAAAGAGACGGGGGGCCACCGCATCAGTGGCGGAGGCAACGGTGAGGAGGCTGCTCTCGATGGTCCCGAGAGCAGTCTGAAGGAGGTCTATAGTGAGCTCAGTGGGGTGCTTCTGAAGAAGCGCGTCGCGGGCAGTGGCAAGGCGGTCAGGGAGGCGGGTGACTAGTGTACAGTGAGCCACATGGGGGGGGGAGCAACAAGGAGCTGTGCGTCGGTACAGGCAGCACGAAAACCGGCGTCAAGCGAGCGGAGGTGAGTCACTAGGTCGGAAACAGTGGCAAACGAGCCTAGGTCGGGAAACACAAACGGCATGAGGAGGCGACTGAGGGAGGCGGAGGAGGGGGTGGAGTAGCGGGCAACAATAGCATCCCACACCCCCTTGGCTGTCTCCACCTGGTCAAAGTGGGCGGCCTCAGTCGGGGGGAGAAGCTCCGACAGTGTGAGAGCGGCGGCAGCGTCACGCGAGAGCCACACGTCCCTGGCCAGGACCCGACGGTCGTACTCCGCCTGGGCCGTAGGGGTCGGCTCCGGGGTGGTCGGCAGGGCGGCGGGGGACGGGGGGGCCTGTAGGGCACCAGACGCGTGAGCCCACAGAGTGGCGCCGTCCTGTCGCTGGCTGGTGAGGAAGCGTGTGGTCTGGCGCTGCCAGGTACCGAACTCGATTGGGCGTCCCTCCGCATCGAAACGGAGGCGACGGGCCTCCATAGCGGAGCCCATGCTAGAGGCGGCTGGAGCACGGCGGAGGCGGAGCTAAGAACGAGGAGGAGGAGGACATAGACTAGGCGTGAAATCGTGGATCGCCAGCTACAGGTGCGAGGAGCGAGGTATGAGTGGCTAAAACGGCTCTAACCTAGGTGACCGGCGAGGGAGAGCGGCTGCCAGCCGCTGAGGGATAGTCCAGTGTCATCAGATTTGGGGAGGGCCTCGCGCACAAGGCAGCGGTGGGGCTAAGGTGATGAACAGTGAGAGAGGGGAGGGGAGGGCGGTTTTGACGGTGGGAATGGGCGGGAGGGCGGTTTTGACGGTGGGAATGGGCGGGGAGGGCGGTTTCGACGGTAGGAATGGGCGGGAGGGCGGTTTGGACGGTGGGAAAGGGCGGGTGGGCGGTTTTGACGGTGGGGATGGGCGGGGGCCAGGGCGTACGGGCTAGGCGCGGGCCTGGGCGACGGGCTACGCGCGGGCCTGGGCGACGGGCTAGGCGCGGGCCTGGGCGACGGGCTACGCGCGGGCCTGGGCGACGGGCTACGCGCGGGCCTGGGCGACGGGCTACGCGCGGGCCTGGGCGACGGGCTAGGCGCGGGCCTGGGCGACGGGCTACGCGCGGGCCTGGGCGACGGTTGACGCGACGGGCAGGGGGAAGGGAGGCGACGCGACGGGCAGGGGGACGGGAGGTAACGCGACGGGGAGGGGAAGGGGAGGGCACGGAGGGGGGGTTACTAAGGGGCGCGACGTGGGGCGGGCTGAGGGCCGCGCTAAGGCGCGAGAGGGCGCTAGGAGCGCGGAGAGCGCGGAGGGCGCTAGGCGTGACGGAGGGCGCGGAGGGCGCTAGGCGCTACGGAGGGCGCTAGGCGCTACGGAGGGCGCGGAGGGCGCTAGGCGTGACGGAGGATCGATACCTACTCGTGATACCATCTCAAAGTCTACATGCAACGGAATGATTGGAATTAGGGTTTGCAAGCATACAAATAGGAGTCCTACAAATGTTGTACCCTTTAGGGAGTGCCTCACTGCAGCCTATCATAACATTAACATTTGACACAATGGCCTGTGACTGTGAAGGAGCACGAGTTCGGCTGCTGCATGAGCAATAACTATTTGCAGCTTGCTCCAGAGGGCTGTGAAGCAGCCCAAGTTCCGACCCTTCAGGCACTTCATTGGCTGCTGCATCTGTTGTGCCAGTCTCTGTCATACCAGTATCTGTTCGTGCAGTGTCAGACGACTTTCGAGTCGACTCAGAAGTCACACTGATGTTGCCTGTTTGTGGGGCGACTGACAGTGGGGTGTGACACGACTTTTGAGCCGACTCAAGAGTCAGCAGTGAAAGCCAATTTTGAATCTTAGGTAGTGCGGTGGGAGGGAGTGCTACTGCTGTAGAGAGCGGTGGAAGTGCATTTGAGAGAGGTGGGCGGCGAGCAGGTGGGCATCCACTGGCTTCTGCAGCACACCGTCAAACCCCCCCTCTGCACACCTCTGCACCACTCCGCGATCCACGTCTGCCGTCAGAGCCACTATGGGCAGCTGCAGCGAGGCAGCAGCAGCAGCAGTAGCTGGGTTTGCAGCAGTGTTGGAAGCGTCTAAGGGGGGAACGGTCAGAGCAGACGAAGCAGCCCTAGAAATACCCTCGTTTCGACCCCCTCCCCCCATTTGCAACCACAGAAATCTCTCTCCCCTGCCCCCTGCCCCCCCCATACGTCCCTCCCAGTCCCTTCCCCAGCTCACACCGCGCCTATGCGTCTCCCCCAACATTGCTGCTCCCTCCGTTGCTCCCTCCCGTAAGCCCCCCTGCTGCACATATCCCTGTTGCCCTCCCAAATGTCTCTCACAACTAGATGCTCTGAGCTGCTCCCTCCCCTGCTGGCCTGTAAGCCCTTCTTTTTTCCCAGTTGCTGCTGCTGCTGCTGCTGCTGCTGCTGCGGCTGTTCCCACATCCGTCATCAGTTGGGCCTCTGTTGCTCTCTCCAACACAAGCTTCCTCTCGAGAGCTCGGATTGCCTCTGTTGCTGCGAACCTGTGGGAAAGAAAAGAAGCGAACTTGGACTTGGCTTATTATTTGATAGCTTGAAACATGGGGTTGAGGCAGGAGACATAAGGATTTTTTAGTCGACTCAAGAATTGGCTTGGTAAGTGATAGCTTGAAACAAGGATGAGGCACGAGACATAAGGATGAGGCACACATAAGGATGAGGCACGACACATAAGGATGAGGCACGAGACATAAGGATGAGGCACGAGACATAAGGATGAGGTTCTAAAGCCATAAGCATTCCTTTTCCCACACACCCACCACGCCATAGCATAACCATGAGGCATAACCATAAGGGCGTGAGTGACTCACCAATCACCCAACTATGCTCATCCCCCAAAACCACTCACCACCTCTCAAAACCACTCACCCGTCCATGCCCGGCATCTGCAGGTCCATGAGAACCAAGTCGAAGCCATGCTGCAACGATGATGCCCCCCCCTCCTCCTGCAACCATGCGCGCCTGCCTCTATCATCCTCCCCTCTTCCATCACCGCCTCTCCCATCCACTCCTCGCTCCTCCCCTCCTCGCACACTCGCTCCCATTGACCCATCCCTACTATCCGCCATCCCATACACACTGCACCCAGCCATCCCAGCTGCTACTCCCTTTCCTGTGCCCCCAGCCAACTCCCCACCTGCCACCCCCTTGCCTGTACGCTCAACTAGCACCTCAGCCCTGCCGGCTCCTGCTCTCACTCCCATTGCCCCATTTTTACTATCTGCCATCCCATACGCCCTGCTTCCAGCCATCCCAGCCGCTACCCCCTTGTCTGTATGTTCAACTAGCACCTCAGCCCCCCCCGCTCCTGCTGTCACTACTTCACCAACTGTCCCTCTTGCTTCTGGCACCGCTTCCAAAACCATTGCACCTGCTTCCTTCCCTCTCGCCTCCTGCTGCCCTCTCCCCACCTCCACCCCTCTCCCTTGTTCCTCTCCCCGCCCGCCCTCCTCCACCCCAGCAGCGACCAACTCAAGTGCTTGCTCCCCACCGGAGGTGGTGGTGTTTCGGGCCCCCCAGCGGGCGAGGGAGCACTCCTCCACCCCAGCAGCAATCAAGTCCATTGCTTGTTGCCCGGAGGAGGCAGTGGTGACAATGGCCCCCCAGCGGGCGAGGGAGCGGCGGGCCACGAGGAGGTTGACGGGCGTGTCGTCCACCACTAGCACTCGCAGCCCGCCCACCCACGCCCGCGTCACCGCCTCATCCGCTGCACCAGCGGCAGCAGCAGCACCTGCAACTGCACCTGTGCCTGCACACAGCCCCCCCACCCACGCCCGCATCACTGCCGAGTCTGCCGCACTACCAGCAGCACCAGCACCAGCACAGGCACAGGTACCTGCAACTGCACATATGCCTGTGCCAGAAGCAAAACCAGCACCAGTACCAGCACCAGCACCAGCACCAGCAGCAGGATAAGCACCTGCACCAGTATGTGTGTCTGCACCAGAACGAGCATCAGCACAAATGGCGGTGCCGGCAGCACAGGTGGTGGTTGCGGGTGCGCACAGTGAGATGGATTGCTCGTACCTTGCACTCACACACGCACTCATACTCCCACTCCCATTCCCGCTCCCACTCGCACTCACACTCACACTCGATTCCTCGCTCTCACTCTGGTATACCCGAAAGGGTCTCGCTCCCTGGTGTTGCTGTTGGTTCCGGTTCTGTTGAACCACCTGATCACTCTCCTGGCTGTGCTGCTGCAGACATCTGCTGCAGTCACCTGAAAAATCTCCTGACCTGCTCTTTCGCCTCTCATCATGCCGTGCAGTCTCCCCTTGCTGCTGTTGATTCTGCTCCTGCTTCTCCTCCTGGTGGTCTAGTTCCTGAATGTTTGACTGCAGTTCCTTTTCACAGTGTTCTTGTAACGATGGCAAGGCTACAGGCACAGAGAAAGCAACTGTGCTACCACACCCAGGCTCTGAGTCCAAGGCGAGCTCTCCCTTCAATAGAGTCACCTGGAGCAGAGTGGGAAGGAGGAGGAGGGAGATGATGACAAGGCAGGTTTCTGTAGTTTCTTTGGAACCGGATGTAGGATTGAAAAGCAACAGCAGCAGCGGCGGCGGCGGCAGTGGCCACGGCAGCAGAGAGATTGAAGAAGGTGTTAGAAGGACTCACCGTTTGCTGCACCAACACAAGCCCGAGTGCTGCCCCTGACCCACTCCTCGCTTCCCTTTGCTCCCGCGATTCCTGGAAGAGCAGAGACAAAAAGACATGGGTTGGGCGGGGCATGTGTAAAAGATGAGTGAGAGTGAGGGGAGCTGTGTGAGGTGAGGTAAAGCATGAGATGTGACCCACTCCTGGCTGCACCAGCACAAGCCCGAGGGCTGCCCCTGACCCACTCCTCGCTTTTCTTTGCTCCTGCGATTCCTAGACGAATACAGAAGAAATAGAAAGATCGGCAGTTTGAGATGGCTGTGTTTATATTCAGCTCTGAACATTCCCAGATGATTAAACGCATGAGAAGCGTGAGAAAAGAGGAGCAAGAGAGGGAGAAGAAAGGGGCAGGAAAGGGAAAAGAAGGAAATGGGAGGGGAGCGGAGGAGAAGGGAGGGGAGGGGATGGGGGAGGACGGGACGGGAAGATACAGTTAGAAGGGGGAGGGAGGGAAGGGGGGAGATGGATGTGACAAGAGCGACGTTGGGGACAGGGGGAGAAAGAGTGGCAGGTCGGGTTCCCACAAAGGAGACAAGGTGAAAACACGAGATAGAACACGTCTAGGCGAGTCCCAACATCTCTAGCGGAGCAGGAGAAAGAGCTTGCAGATCGTGATTTGAGTAGGAGCGAGACGAACGAAGCTCACGAGGAGGGAGAAGTAGGAAGGCCCTCCAGTGCCACTTCAGTGTGGAGAGACGCAGGGAGGCCGCAGCCTGAGCCTTGACACTGTGAAGTGAGTGGGAGGGAGAGGTCGAAGGCTCACCAGGAGGGAGAAGTAAGAAGGCCCACTTGCAGCGTAAAGAGACGCTGGAGGGCCAGCGTCTGAGTCTTGACACTGTGGGAGGGAGAAGTCAAAACCTCACCAGCAGGGAGACAAGCAGACGAGGCTCACCAGGAGGGAGAAGTAGGAAGGCCCTTCACTGCCACTTGCAGTGTGGAGAGACGCTGGAAGGCCACAGCCCGAGTCTTGGCACGACAGAACCAGCATGCACCGCTCTCCACCCCTCTCTTGCTCACTCCTGTGGTCTCTTCCATGCCCTCTCCCATCCCTCCTGTCTGCTTTTCGAGTATTTCTCCTGTCTTGACTCCCATGCCTTCTCTCATGTCCCCCTTCCCCTTTTGCACTGCCTGCTGTGCTTGTTGCTGCTGCTCCTGCTGCTACTGCTATTGCTGGTGCTGGTGCTGGTTGTGATGGTGATGGTGGTGGTGCTGCTGCTACTGCTGGCGCTCCCTCCCCATTCACTGCCTCGCAGCCTACTGCTACTGCTGGCGCTCCCTCCCCATTCACTGCCTCGCAGCCTGCTGCTACTGCTGGCGCTCCCTCCCCATTCACTGCCTCACAGCCTGTTGCTACTGCTGGCGCCCCTTCCCCCTTCACTGCCTCACAGCCTGCTGCTCTTACAGCTTGCGTTCCCTCCCCATTCACTACCTCACCGCCTGCTGCTCCTACTACTGTCGCCCCCAAACCCTTCACTGCCTCACAGTCTGCTTCTCCTACTGCTTGCCTTCCCTTCACCCCCTCGAGCAGGCAGCGCCATCTAGGGCAGAGCCATCGGCACGTTGTCCCATGGAGAGTTGATCGGGTGTGTGCTTCTGGGATTGCTGAGGAAAGGCCTGGGATGGATGGGGAAAACGTGGAGAGAGGAAGTATGCTTTTGAGGTGACTTGCGGAAAAACTCAAGGTGGACGGGAGGGGGGCAGTTTCTCGGAGCTTGTGGTGTCATTGAAAGAAGGCATGGGATGGGACAAATGATGTGAGAAATGTGAACAGAGAATGGAGGGAGGTGGAGGGGTTGTAGACGCGGTGGGGACGGGTGTGCAAGAAGTGATGGTGTTAGAGTGAAGAATCAAGGAGTGACGTAAATAGGTGAACAGGAAAGAATCAAGGGCCGAGGAGAGGTGATCCGTACAGAGAGTGCATGGGCATGAAACGAGCATAAACCAGTATGGAAAAGGATGAACCAGTATGAACCAGTATGAACCAGTACGAACCAGTATGAACCAGGATGAACCAGTATGAACCAGTATGAACCAGTACGAACCAGTACGAACCAGTATGAACCAGTATGAACCAGTATGAACCGGTATGAACCAGGATGAACCAGGATGAACCAGTACGAACCAGTACGAACCAGTACGAACCAGTACGAACCAGTACGAACCAGTATGAACCAGGATGAACCATTATGAACCAGGACGAACCAGGATGAACCAGTATGAACCAGTATGAACCAGTACGAACCAGTACGAACCAGGATGAACCAGGATGAACCAGTTTGAACCAGTACGAACCAGGATGAACCAGTATGAACCAGTATGAACCAACATGAACAAGCAAGAGCAAACACCAACGCGACATTCAACTGCTGACAACCAAGCTTACCCTGGTAACAAAGGGTGTCTTGCAAGGTTGTCCCTTGCGGCACCATGGACACCCGCACTGTCACGTGGCCTTGTGTCGTGAACTTGAGTGCATTATCTGAAACATAACCGAGGAAAGTGGTAACCAGAAGGTCCAAGGAGTCTTAACTACCATGACACACATCATCGTCACACTCCACCACGACACACATCATCATGACACACATCATCATGACACACATCATCATGACACACATCATCATGACACACATTATCACGACACACATCACCATGACACACATCACCATGACACACATCACCATGACACACATCACCATCACACACATCACCATCACACAAACATAACCATCCCACCACCATCTCAGCCCAGAATGCACCTGTTATCCCCTTCAGCGCGTTGCTGAGATGCAAGGAGTCGTTACTATCACATACATCACCTCACCGTCCCGCCATCACCCACTCACATCACATCCCAACCTGGGTGCACCAGTAATCTCCTTGAGCGCATTGATGAGTTTTATTGCATTCACAATGACATGCGTGGGGCAATTCTCACACCCCATCCACGTACTACATCACCCAACCCCATGCACACCCCACTTGCAACATTGAGATCACCTGTGATCTCCTTGACCGCATTGCTGAGGTGAAAGGGATCCACAATGACAGGCGTGAGGCACTCACCATCACCCACACTCTAACCGCAGTTACATGCACGGGGCACTTAAACTGTGACAGCCCACCTGTGGCAGCCCACGTGTGACAGCCCACCTGTGGCAGCCCACGTGTGACAGCCCACCTGTGGCAGCCCACGTGTGACAGCCCACCTGTGGCAGCCCACGTGTGACAGCCCACCTGTGGCAGCCCACGTGTGACGGCCCACCTGTGATCTCCTTGAGTGCATTGCTGAGATGCAAGGGATCCACAATGACATGTGTGGGGCAATCCGTGCTGACACTGCCGCTCACTGTAGGGGGAGGAAGGACGGTGGAAAACTTCAATGCGTGATCGTGAGAACAAGGGCATGTTGCATTGGGCGGGGCGAACACATGACACTAGAATGAAACCCGCAGAGATTATTACATGGTGAAAGAAACCACACGATGGGGCTTTTGCAACATTGAAAAATGGTACACAATATTAGAGTCAATAAGTAGTATAAATTACAAAACATGTTCACCAGTTAGCGCGTGTGCACTCACACTCGATCCCTTTGGATCGTGCTGCTCCTGCATGCCGACCCAAGGCAGCCTGGGGCCACTCGCGCACGTCAACCATGCAGTGCCCCTCCCCTCCCTCAACTCAACGAGTCACTCACACTCGATCCCAAGGCAGCACGAAGCCACAGGCGCACATCAATCACCGTCTCATCCACCACGGCCTTGCCTGCCTCCAGCTTCGAAACCCAGTGCAACCCAGTGCAGTGCAACCCCCTCCCTCAACGAGCCACTCACATTGAATGCCTTTCGAGTGCGCCACTTCTGCATGGCAGTCAAGAGCAGCACGCAGCCACTCCCTCATGTCAATCACCGTCTCATCCACCACGGCCTTGCCTGCCTCCAATTTCGCCAGGTCCAACACGCGGTTCACCAGATGCAGTGTTCGTTTCGCTGATGCTGTGGCCAATAGCAGGTCTTCTAGCTGGGAGGAGTCCAGGCCCATGTCTGCTAGCGCATCGAGCATGCCTGGTGGGAGGAAATAGCGATGTGGGCAGCAGAAGGGTGAGTGCATGGGGCCATGAAGTTCAGAGAAACACCCAGGCGAGCAGATGAAATGCATCCTTGGACGACAGTCCCGCCATTAGCAGGTCCGGCAGTTGGAGAGGTCCAATGGAGGAAACCGAGGAAGACACAGGGGAGAGTGCGGGCTGAGAGCTTGTTCGCACCAGAAGCGCGGACGTAAGCAAGGCAGCCCCAGACGCGGAACGCATCCGCAACACCAAGAAACTCAGTCCAGAGGAGGGACTGCGTAACTTGAGGGCGTGAAACACGAGGCCACAGGTTAAGTTGGCGCGTGGCGTAACGGAGTGAAAAAAGGCAACAGAAAATGGGGGCCACCGAGATGGCACATGAAGGTACGAGCGATCTCCGTGACTAAGCCCATGCGGCGCTCAGTGACCCCATTCTTTTGTAATGAGGGGGGTACGGTCCATATCTGCTAGAGCGAGAGGGAAGGAGGGAGGGGGGGCCGTTAGCAGGTCTGCCAGCAGAAGAAGGGTAGGTCCATGTCTGTTAGAGCGTCTGACCCATGCCTGGTGGGGGAAAAGGGATGTGGGTGGGAGAGAGGGGAGCAGGTACGGAGCAGTAGGGTGCAGAAGGGATAACAGGGATGCAGTACCTACCTATGATTCCAACCATGGGCGCCCGCAGCTCATGAGACATGCACGCTACAAACATGCTCATCCGCCTCGGCTTCATCCGCCTCTCCTTCTCATGCGTTCAAAACCAGATTCACTAATGCATGAGATGAGCACTGTACGCACCGATGATTCCAACCATGGGTGCCCGCAGCTCATGAGACATGCACGCTACAAACATGCTCTTCGATGCCTCTGCTTCATCCGCCTCTCGTCTCAGCCTATCAGCTTCCGCCACCTGCTGCTGGGTCTGCAGGAACTTGGCCCGCTGCAGACAAGCCGCGAGCAGCACGAGCAGCACGAGGAGGAGGGCGAAGAGGGCGATGAGGATGGGGATGCCCCACGATTGCCATGCGCTGGGGGGCTGGGTGTGCCTGGATGGGGCAACAGTTGCATGGGAGGATAGCAGCACAGGTGTGGAAGCTGAGTGTGCAAGGGCATAGGAGGAGGGCGACGAGGGCGATGAGGACGGGGATGCCCCACGATTGCCACGCGCTGGGGGGCTGTGTGTGCCTGGAGGGGGGTGGGAGAATCATAGAGGGTTGTTCTGAGCATGTACGATTCATTATGCGGGTGCATAGTAAGAGGTTTGTGAGGATGGACACGGTTTAGACATGCATAGTGATATATTATTGGCAAAAAGCACCTGTAGCCTCAACGATAATCCCACACAGCGGGTTCAAACTCTCACCCAGAAAATCGGGCACAAAGTCCTCATTCTTGCGCACGTTGCCTGCTCCCAACTGTGTGTTCACAGCGTCATAGTAAGTCTAGCCTAAACTTTCTCCTACACTGCTGCTCGACTCATTAAAGATCTCAGGTAATTTTTTTCTACAGACGCGTCATGAGAGCTTTTGAGGGCCCTCAAAACAAGAGGCGACTTTTGCGGCGCCTCATGCGAAGAACCATCCACTAGGCAGTCTCAAGAGGAATCAAGCGGTCACCAGAAAGCTCACCCTCATTCGCACAGGACCTCGTACTTTCGCACCAAAAGGCTCACTCACAGCCCATGGGAACCTCACCGGCACCAGACCTCGTACTTTTGAGGCGCCTCAAAAGTTGCCTAAAAAACCAGAAAGCTCAATCTCAGTCTTACAAGAAGGCTCACTCACAGCCCCATGGGAACCTCACCGGCACCAGACCTCGTACTTTCACCCGCCTGCCCCGATCTTCTCTGGAGGCACCACGGCTCGATGCTCCCAGGGACGGACGGGTTTCGGGTCTGGGGAGGAGTGCATGTGGAGGAGCGAGAGAGCAAGAGAGCGAGCGAGCGGGAGAGTGGGCTAGGGGCAGAGTTCAGAGTCGAGAAGGCTCACTCACTCACTCACCGGCACCAGACCTCGTACTTTCGAACGCCTGCTCCCATCTCCTCCAAAGGGACCACGGCTCGTTGCTCCCAGGGTCGAGTTTCGGACTCCGGGGAGGGGTACATGTAGGGGAGCTTGTCGTCCGGGCGAAAGTAAGCGTGGGGGGGGACTGGAGAGACGATGGCGAAGAGGGTGGTTGGATCGGTGATGTCGTATAGCTCAAAGGATTTTGATGGGTCTGCAAAAATGGCGGGGGGAAAGACGTAAGAGAGTGGAAAGACAGAGGAATGAGTGGAAGAGGAAGAGAGGGAGAGGGAAAGGTAGCTTGAAGGGGGGGTTTACGGGAACTCTGCTGAACTGTTCTCGGTTGACCAAGTGAAGGGAGTCCGAGGAGGGGTACATGTAGGGGAGCTTGTCGTCGGGGCGAAAGTACGCATGTGGGGGGACTGGTGAGACGATGGCAAAGAGGGTGGTTGGGTCTGTGATATCGTATAGCTCAAAGGACTTGGATGGGTCTGCAAAACGGGAGGGGGGGAAGGGGGAAAGGGGAAGGGAATGGAGAGACGATGGCGAAGAGGGTGGTTGGGTCGGTGATGTCGTTTAGCTCAAAGGACTTGGATGGGTCTGCAGGGGGGGGAGGGAAGGGGGGTGGAAACATGGAGGGGTGCATGTAGGGGAGGTTGTTGTGGGGGGCGAAAGTAAGCGTGGGGGGGGACTGGAGAGACGATGGCAAAAAGAATTGTTGGGTCAGTGATGTCGTATAGCTCAAAGGATTTCGATGGGTCTGCATGGGAGGAAGAGAAGGGGGGAGGGAGAGTGGGGGGAAAAAAGGGTGGGGGGAGGAGGGAGAAAGGGGGGAGAGGAGAGGAGAGGAGAGGAGAGAGTAAGAGCACGGCGCAAACGTCAAGGTGATTTCAACTTGTACGGAAAAGTAATTATGACAACAACATCGATAGATTATACAGCTCTGCACTCACCAGGTTCATACAGCTCCTCTAGGACCTTCTGTGCGATGTAAGTCACGTCAAAAGATGCAGCAATCGACCCGTACACTGGTCCCTTTGCTGCTGATTGGCTCGAGTGGTTGGTGGGAAGGCTGCGGTGGAGAGGAAAGGCGACACCTGCGGCGGGATCGGGAGAAACGAGAGAGATTGGATGAAGATCTTCATCACTAATTGCCACTATTGATAAAAGTCAAATTGCTGGAAGAGGTGCACACTGGAAAAGGTGCACACTGGAAAAGGTGCACACTGGAAAAGGTGCACACTGGAAAAGGTGCACACTGGAAAAGGTGCACACTGGAAAAGGTGCACACTGGAAAAGGTGCACACTGGAAAAGGTGCACACTGGAAAAGGTGCACACTGGAAAAGGTACACACTGGAAAAGGTACACACTGGAAAAGGTACACACTGGAAAAGGTACACACTGGAAAAGGTACACACTGGAAAAGGTACACACTGGAAAAGGTACACACTGGAAAAGGTACACACTGGAAAAGGTACACACTGGAAAAGGTACACACTGGAAAAGGTACACACTGGAAAAGGTACACACTGGAAAAGGTACACACTGGAAAAGGTACACACTGGAAAAGGTACACACTGGAAAAGGTACACGCTGGAAAAGGTACACACTGGAAAAGGTACACGCTGGAAAAGGTACACACTGGAAAAGGTACACACTGGAAAAGGTACACGCTGGAAAAGGTACACACTGGAAAAGGTACACGCTGGAAAAGGTACACGCTGGAAAAGGTACACGCTGGAAAAGGTACACACTGGAAAAGGTACACACTGGAAAAGGTACACGCTGGAAAAGGTACACACTGGAAAAGGTACACACTGGAAAAGGTACACGCTGGAAAAGGTACACGCTGGAAAAGGTACACGCTGGAAAAGGTACACACTGGAAAAGGTACACGCTGGAAAAGGTACACACTGGAAAAGGTACACGCTGGAAAAGGTACACACTGGAAAAGGTACACGCTGGAAAAGGTACACACTGGAAAAGGTACACGCTGGAAAAGGTACACACTGGAAAAGGTACACGCTGGAAAAGGTACACACTGGAAAAGGTACACACTGGAAAAGGTACACGCTGGAAAAGGTACACACTGGAAAAGGTACACACTGGAAAAGGTACACGCTGGAAAAGGTACACACTGGAAAAGGTACACGCTGGAAAAGGTACACACTGGAAAAGGTACACGCTGGAAAAGGTACACGCTGGAAAAGGTACACGCTGGAAAAGGTACACGCTGGAAAAGGTACACGCTGGAAAAGGTACACACTGGAAAAGGTACACACTGGAAAAGGTACACGCTGGAAAAGGTACACACTGGAAAAGGTACACACTGGAAAAGGTACACACTGGAAAAGGTACACACTGGAAAAGGTACACACTGGAAAAGGTACACGCTGGAAAAGGTACACACTGGAAAAGGTACACACTGGAAAAGGTACACGCTGGAAAAGGTACACGCTGGAGAAGGTACACGCTGGAAAAGGTACACACTGGAAAAGGTACACGCTGGAAAAGGTACACACTGGAAAAGGTACACGCTGGAAAAGGTACACACTGGAAAAGGTACACGCTGGAAAAGGTACACACTGGAAAAGGTACACGCTGGAAAAGGTACACACTGGAAAAGGTACACACTGGAAAAGGTACACGCTGGAAAAGGTACACGCTGGAAAAGGTACACACTGGAAAAGGTACACGCTGGAAAAGGTACACACTGGAAAAGGTACACGCTGGAAAAGGTACACACTGGAAAAGGTACACGCTGGAAAAGGTACACACTGGAAAAGGTACACGCTGGAAAAGGTACACACTGGAAAAGGTACACGCTGGAAAAGGTACACACTCGAAAAGGTACACGCTGGAAAAGGTACACACTGGAAAAGGTACACACTGGAAAAGGTACACGCTGGAAAAGGTACACACTGGAAAAGGTACACACTGGAAAAGGTACACGCTGGAAAAGGTACACACTGGAAAAGGTACACGCTGGAAAAGGTACACACTGGAAAAGGTACACGCTGGAAAAGGTACACGCTGGAAAAGGTACACGCTGGAAAAGGTACACGCTGGAAAAGGTACACGCTGGAAAAGGTACACACTGGAAAAGGTACACACTGGAAAAGGTACACGCTGGAAAAGGTACACACTGGAAAAGGTACACACTGGAAAAGGTACACACTGGAAAAGGTACACACTGGAAAAGGTACACACTGGAAAAGGTACACGCTGGAAAAGGTACACACTGGAAAAGGTACACACTGGAAAAGGTACACGCTGGAAAAGGTACACGCTGGAGAAGGTACACGCTGGAAAAGGTACACACTGGAAAAGGTACACGCTGGAAAAGGTACACACTGGAAAAGGTACACGCTGGAAAAGGTACACACTGGAAAAGGTACACGCTGGAAAAGGTACACACTGGAAAAGGTACACGCTGGAAAAGGTACACACTGGAAAAGGTACACACTGGAAAAGGTACACGCTGGAAAAGGTACACGCTGGAAAAGGTACACACTGGAAAAGGTACACGCTGGAAAAGGTACACACTGGAAAAGGTACACGCTGGAAAAGGTACACACTGGAAAAGGTACACACTGGAAAAGGTACACGCTGGAAAAGGTACACACTGGAAAAGGTACACGCTGGAAAAGGTACACACTGGAAAAGGTACACGCTGGAAAAGGTACACACTGGAAAAGGTACACGCTGGAAAAGGTACACACTGGAAAAGGTACACGCTGGAAAAGGTACACACTGGAAAAGGTACACACTGGAAAAGGTACACGCTGGAAAAGGTACACACTGGAAAAGGTACACGCTGGAAAAGGTACACACTGGAAAAGGTACACACTGGAAAAGGTACACACTGGAAAAGGTACACGCTGGAAAAGGTACACACTGGAAAAGGTACACACTGGAAAAGGTACACGCTGGAAAAGGTACACGCTGGAAAAGGTACACGCTGGAAAAGGTACACGCTGGAAAAGGTACACGCTGGAAAAGGTACACGCTGGAAAAGGTACACGCTGGAAAAGGTACACGCTGGAAAAGGTACACGCTGGAAAAGGTGCACACTGGAAAAGGTGCACACTGGAAACGGTACACGCTGGAAAAGGTACACACTGGAAAAGGTACACGCTGGAAAAGGTACACACTGGAAAAGGTACACACTGGAAAAGGTACACGCTGGAAAAGGTACACACTGGAAAAGGTACACGCTGGAAAAGGTACACGCTGGAAAAGGTACACGCTGGAACAGGTACACGCTGGAACAGGTACACACTGGAAAAGGTACACGCTGGAAAAGGTACACGCTGGAAAAGGTACACGCTGGAAAAGGTACACACTGGAAAAGGTACACGCTGGAAAAGGTACACGCTGGAAAAGGTACACGCTGGAAAAGGTACACGCTGGAAAAGGTACACGCTGGAAAAGGTACACGCTGGAAAAGGTACACGCTGGAAAAGGTACACGCTGGAAAAGGTACACGCTGGAAAAGGTACACGCTGGAAAAGGTACACGCTGGAAAAGGTACACGCTGGAAAAGGTACACACTGGAAAAGGTACACGCTGGAAAAGGTACACGCTGGAAAAGGTACACGCTGGAAAAGGTACACACTGGAAAAGGTACACGCTGGAAAAGGTACACGCTGGAAAAGGTACACACTGGAAAAGGTACACACTGGAAAAGGTACACACTGGAAAAGGTACACGCTGGAAAAGGTACACACTGGAAAAGGTACACGCTGGAAAAGGTACACACTGGAAAAGGTACACGCTGGAAAAGGTACACACTGGAAAAGGTACACGCTGGAAAAGGTACACGCTGGAAAAGGTACACGCTGGAAAAGGTACACGCTGGAAAAGGTACACACTGGAAAAGGTACACGCTGGAAAAGGTACACGCTGGAAAAGGTACACGCTGGAGAAGGTACACGCTGGAAAAGGTACACGCTGGAAAAGGTACACGCTGGAAAAGGTACACACTGGAAAAGGTACACGCTGGAAAAGGTACACACTGGAAAAGGTACACACTGGAAAAGGTACACGCTGGAAAAGGTACACACTGGAAAAGGTACACACTGGAAAAGGTACACGCTGGAAAAGGTACACGCTGGAAAAGGTACACACTGGAAAAGGTACACACTGGAAAAGGTACACGCTGGAAAAGGTACACACTGGAAAAGGTACACGCTGGAAAAGGTACACACTGGAAAAGGTACACGCTGGAAAAGGTACACACTGGAAAAGGTACACGCTGGAAAAGGTACACACTGGAAAAGGTACACGCTGGAAAAGGTACACACTGGAAAAGGTACACGCTGGAAAAGGTACACACTGGAAAAGGTACACGCTGGAAAAGGTACACGCTGGAAAAGGTACACGCTGGAAAAGGTACACACTGGAAAAGGTACACGCTGGAAAAGGTACACACTGGAAAAGGTACACGCTGGAAAAGGTACACACTGGAAAAGGTACACGCTGGAAAAGGTACACACTGGAAAAGGTACACGCTGGAAAAGGTACACACTGGAAAAGGTACACGCTGGAAAAGGTACACACTGGAAAAGGTACACGCTGGAAAAGGTACACACTGGAAAAGGTACACGCTGGAAAAGGTACACACTGGAAAAGGTACACGCTGGAAAAGGTACACACTGGAAAAGGTACACACTGGAAAAGGTACACGCTGGAAAAGGTACACACTGGAAAAGGTACACGCTGGAAAAGGTACACACTGGAAAAGGTACACGCTGGAAAAGGTACACACTGGAAAAGGTACACGCTGGAAAAGGTACACGCTGGAAAAGGTACACACTGGAAAAGGTACACGCTGGAAAAGGTACACACTGGAAAAGGTACACGCTGGAAAAGGTACACACTGGAAAAGGTACACGCTGGAAAAGGTACACACTGGAAAAGGTACACGCTGGAAAAGGTACACACTGGAAAAGGTACACGCTGGAAAAGGTACACACTGGAAAAGGTACACACTGGAAAAGGTACACGCTGGAAAAGGTACACACTGGAAAAGGTACACGCTGGAAAAGGTACACACTGGAAAAGGTACACGCTGGAAAAGGTACACACTGGAAAAGGTACACGCTGGAAAAGGTACACACTGGAAAAGGTACACGCTGGAAAAGGTACACGCTGGAAAAGGTACACGCTGGAAAAGGTACACGCTGGAAAAGGTACACGCTGGAAAAGGTACACGCTGGAAAAGGTACACGCTGGAAAAGGTACACGCTGGAAAAGGTACACGCTGGAAAAGGTACACGCTGGAAAAGGTGCACACTGGAAAAGGTGCACACTGGAAACGGTACACGCTGGAAAAGGTACACACTGGAAAAGGTACACGCTGGAAAAGGTACACACTGGAAAAGGTACACACTGGAAAAGGTACACGCTGGAAAAGGTACACACTGGAAAAGGTACACGCTGGAAAAGGTACACACTGGAAAAGGTACACGCTGGAAAAGGTACACACTGGAAAAGGTACACGCTGGAAAAGGTACACACTGGAAAAGGTACACGCTGGAAAAGGTACACACTGGAAAAGGTACACGCTGGAAAAGGTACACGCTGGAAAAGGTACACACTGGAAAAGGTACACGCTGGAAAAGGTACACACTGGAAAAGGTACACGCTGGAAAAGGTACACACTGGAAAAGGTACACGCTGGAAAAGGTACACACTGGAAAAGGTACACGCTGGAAAAGGTACACACTGGAAAAGGTACACGCTGGAAAAGGTACACACTGGAAAAGGTACACGCTGGAAAAGGTACACGCTGGAAAAGGTACACACTGGAAAAGGTACACGCTGGAAAAGGTACACACTGGAAAAGGTACACGCTGGAAAAGGTACACACTGGAAAAGGTACACGCTGGAAAAGGTACACACTGGAAAAGGTACACGCTGGAAAAGGTACACACTGGAAAAGGTACACGCTGGAAAAGGTACACACTGGAAAAGGTACACACTGGAAAAGGTACACGCTGGAAAAGGTACACACTGGAAAAGGTACACACTGGAAAAGGTACACACTGGAAAAGGTACACACTGGAAAAGGTACACACTGGAAAAGGTACACACTGGAAAAGGTACACACTGGAAAAGGTACACGCTGGAAAAGGTACACACTGGAAAAGGTACACACTGGAAAAGGTACACGCTGGAAAAGGTACACACTGGAAAAGGTACACGCTGGAAAAGGTACACACTGGAAAAGGTACACGCTGGAAAAGGTACACACTGGAAAAGGTACACGCTGGAAAAGGTACACACTGGAAAAGGTACACGCTGGAAAAGGTACACGCTGGAGAAGGTACACGCTGGAAAAGGTACACGCTGGAAAAGGTACACGCTGGAAAAGGTACACACTGGAAAAGGTACACGCTGGAAAAGGTACACACTGGAAAAGGTACACACTGGAAAAGGTACACGCTGGAAAAGGTACACACTGGAAAAGGTACACGCTGGAAAAGGTACACGCTGGAAAAGGTACACGCTGGAAAAGGTACACGCTGCTTGGGCCGTTGGTGGCAAAGAGTGTTGTGAGCTCGGTGCGTTTGAGGTTGCAGCAGGTCACACCACTGCCAAGGCTATGCTACCATGACCTCTCTCACTCACTCCCTCACTCACTACCTCACTCACTCATTCACTCGCTCCCTCCCTCCCTCCCTCCCTCCCTCACTCACTCACTCACTCACTCACTCACTCACTCACCGAATCCGGCATGAGTGAGGGGGTTGGCGAGGGGGTAGGGCCAGGAGTAGAAGTGCCGGCCTTCTAGCACGAGCGGGATCAGTGAGTAGTATCGCTGAAACATGTCAATGTTGCTGGGGCCGTTGGTGGCATAGAGCGTTGTGAGCTCGAGGACCTTGGGGCAGTAGATGGGGCGGTGGGCACTGACAATCAGCGTGTTGTCTTTTATGCTGCCGTACTGCTTCTCAAAGGCCGCCCTGCAATGATGTGGGTGCAGTAAAAAAAAAGGAAGGGATGGAGCGCAAAAAAAAAAAAAAAAAAAAGCGTAGGTAGCCCACGACATCTTATGCCACTCAACCACACCCTTTTTGGCGCTGTTCCAACAGTCTGTCAAGATAGTCAAGAGTCTCATCTCATCTCCATCCACCCTCAGCTCCCTCACCCCTCACCTCTCTCCACTCCTACACTCACATCTCCCTCCCCTCCCACCACTCTGCATTGCACACCACCGCACACGTGACCACTCCCGCCTGGGTGTGCGAGGGAGGTACAACACCCACATGCTGCCGTTCAAACACCCTTGCTCCCAGGTTTGAGCCTGGTGCAACACAAATCAATTCTCCTTCCTTCCCCTCTCACCTCTCTGCATCGCGCACCACTGCACACACGACTGCACCCGTGTTGCCTGGGCGATTTGGAGTGGTGCGAGTGAGATGAGACACCCACATGCTGCCGTTGCTCCCAGGTTTGCGCCTGTTGCAACCCAAATCGATGCTCCCTTCCCCCCCCCTCTCACCTCTCTGCATCGTGCACCAGCGCACACGCGACTGCACCAGTGTTGCCCGGGCGAGTTGGTGCGGTGCGAGTGAGGTAAGACACCCACATGCTGCCGTTCAAACACCGACCCATCTCCCATTTGCCTCCTTGCCCTGGCTTGCCCATCACTGTGATCACACCTGAAAGAGTCTGACAAATGGGAGGGGATGGGTTCGAATTACTAGATACAGTGAAGACTGAATAGTGGAACTGATTTCGGCGTTTAAACACCCACGGTGAGCCGCTCATGTCCCACTTGCCCACCCGCCCTGGCTTGCTCGTTATCAGCCCTGCAAGATTCTGAAGAATGAAAGGGTATTCGGATCGAATCATTAGATCGAGTGGACAATGAATAACACCCGCCCACCCATGTCCCGCTTGCCCACCTGCCCATGCTTGCCCGTCACAGAAATCAGCCCTGTAAGAGTCTGAAGAACGAAAGGGAAGTGGGATCAAATCGAATGTCTAGTCTAGTCAGAGTGGAACACTGAGCAGCGGAAACTGCTTCTACCGTTCGAACAACCGCCCCTGCAACCCCAGCAACCCTAAACCCTGTCCCACTTACCCACGTCCCACCTGCATCTGCCCGGCATGGGTGAGCACGAGCTGCTGCAGCAGCATGGGGCAACAACCATGCTGCAGGCAGGAATGCCGAGTCCTGACACCACTCCAGCCCTAATACCTGCATCTGCCCGGCATGGGTGAGCACGAGCTGCTGCAGCATGATCGCGCGCTCCTTGCACCACACGCCCAGTGCCTCCTCCCTGTGCCTCTCGTACTGCGCGTGCCGGTCCCACAGCAGCCCCGCTGCTGCCACTGTGCCACAGGCCGCCCACACGACCACCAGCACCGTGAACAGGGGCGCTGGAAAGGGCGAAAGAGAGGGGGAGGAAGGAGGGGGAGGAGAGGGAGGAGCGGGAGAAGGAGGGAGGGAAGCGAGGGGTGAGTGGGACGGGCTGCTGCTTTCACTGTGCTGCACGCCACCCACACGACCACCAGCACCGTGAACAGGGACGCTGGGAGGAGGAGGAGGAAGGGATGTGGGGGAGGAGGAGAGGGGGGAGAGAGGGGCGAGAGCGAGTGGTTGGAGCGATCGCTGTGCCGTTGGGAGAGCGCTTGAGAAGAGAGAAAGGGACAGGGTGGAGGAGAAGGAGGAGAGGGGACGAGAGGGGCGAGAGCGAGGGGCTGGAGCTATCACTGTGCCTCTGGAAGAGCGCTTAAGAAGTGAGAAAGGGAAAAGGTGGAGGAGAAGGAGAGGGGGAAGAGAGGTGTGAGATCCCTAGCCGTGAGATCCCTAGGCGTGAGGTTCCTAGTCATGAGACCCGGCATGAGACATCGAGGCATGATGAGATCCCAAGGCATGAGATCCCAAGGCGTGAGATTCCAAGGCGTGAGATTCCAAGGCGTGAGATTCCAAGGCGTGAGATTCCAAGGCGTGAGATTCCAAGGCGTGAGATTCCAAGGCGTGAGATTCCAAGGCGTGAGATTCCAAGGCGTGAGATCAGGTGTGAGATCAGGTGTGAGATCCCAAGGTGTGAGAACTAGGCATAGTCCGGCTATGCGATCCTAGTCACAGCCATGCGATACCAGGGGCTGAAGGATAGAAGCCGCAGGAAAGAGGGTGTGAGAGAGGGAAAATCAATAGAGAAGGATGGAAGCGGCAGAAAAGAGGGTATCAGAGAGGGGAGGACGGCCCAGGGGAGATGTGAAGGGCTTCCCCTCCTCTCGGAGGAGAGGAAGCCCGAAATCGGCAATCGTCCTACCAATTTTTTTTTTTTCCCTACTTCTATCCTCAAAATGCTGGCATATAGCACTAGAAAATTCACCTAGGGCCTAAAAGCACCCTTTCCTCATCGTTACCCTGGAATAGCACCGAGGAGCAACCCACAGGAGCTCCCGCTGTGGTATCATCATCCTCCCCTCCCCCCGCCGCCTGTTTCTGCTTCAAGCAACTTGGGACGTGCCTGCTCCAGCCGCCGCTTTGCGCTTTCGGCGTCATTAAAAGCAGTGCTTGTACTGACAGCTACTGAGTCGCCACGTTTTTCCCTGTGGGATCGCTGGCGACTCGATCGCCGCGTATTTTCTGCTATTGTTAGTAGCAGCAGATCAGTTTATGATTCAGCGTCACACTGACAATGCGTCAGCCACCGTGATTGAAGTTCAGCGAAGCCTGGTCGAAAGTTTTATCTCAGTTAATTTCCAGTTTACAGGCTGTACTATTCTAGAGATAATCCTCAGCCGACCAGCAAAGTCAGGATGAAAACCCAGTTCTTGCATACCACAATCAGAAACTTGTCAACAAACTGAAAAGGAGTGCCAAGGCAATTCCTAAGCGAATTCTGTTCTGGGCCTTGTACGCTTTTCCAGCTCAAATGAAGATTTGAGGTGGCCACAGGTGGGTTCTCCAGGTTGATTGTGACGAAAACCCAACAGTTTCAGGGCTGTCTAATTAAATTCGTGCATTTCTTAGAGCACATTCAACGTTTCCAAAAGCGTCTTTCAGTTCTTTTATATATTTGAGGGCGACGATATACAGAACAAACACTGTTGGAGCATTCCACAGTCGTAGCTGATCTGGCTTGAGTCCCACCCTTGGCCTTCCCAGACACACAGCCAAATCCTACCGATTCCTTCCCATTTCCTACACTTCTGTGGGTGGTGGGGGGAGGGGGTGCGGGGTGGGGAAGGAGTACGGGATGGGTTGCGGGGGTTGCGATGGATTTGCTCCTCGCATGAAACTTCAGACTACTCAAACAGTGAGCGTAGTGGGGACTCGTGAAACAGGAAATTTCTTGTCTAAATGTTTTCTCAAAAGCTGTTTCTACTTGGGGTTTTGACCTAATTCACCAGGTTGCGTCTGCGCTGGCAAAATGAAAAACAAGCAAGCCACAGTTCTGCTCGCCGCCACTGTTATGCAACCACGCTCAGAACAACATTTCTCTGCAAGTGGGAGAACGTGGCGTGAGGCGGGTGAGGCCAGAATCGGCTGGTTTCACAAATCGTCCCACTGGCACTCACACCCATGCAAGCAGGCACGGCAACGGTGTTGACAGCATTCTGCCAGACCGTCGGGGGTGAATTGCGCAATCAGCGATCTCAAGAAGCAAGTGATTGCGGAGGGGTAACAACCATTTCTCCCCAAAACAATATACAAAAGCTGGCAAAACATAATATATTTTTAGTGCTGAAATTTCAGTACATTTGGAACATTACCTTTCTCAGTGGCAGATAAGGGTTCGTTCCTGGCTGGTGTCAAGCTTCGGGCCTTCCCGGGAAGACCCGAAGCTTTGGGTTAAAGTTCCTGTCAAACCTTGTGTTTTCCGGAAACAGGGGCAATTTTTGGCCGGAAGACCCGAAGTTGGTCTCGGATGACCCAAAGTGGATGACCGGAAGCTTGACACGCGCCAGGAACGCACCCTAAGAATCCAAATATTCGATGGTCAACTCTTCTGGAGCAACCGCGCTAACGTGGTTAGGCTCTACAACCACTAATATCCAAAACAGTAAAACTGATATAAATTACACAACTAAACAGCTATATTTCCGCACCAGATAATCTTTACATCCTTGGGTACCTACCCTCGTCCAATTTGATTTCGAGGGCGCTGCAACAGGAGCGAAGGGACGGGAAAGATATCATGCTAGCCGTCCTGTCCGTCATGATAGCCGATTGTATCGAAAGGCGTGACGGGGTGTGCGACAAGCGCCAAGAGAGAAACAAAAGCCTGTGGGGTCACTAGGTCCTGCTCTGGTATCATGTAAATATATGATATTAGACTAGGATGATTGCTAATGGTGTGTTGCAATTTGCGGTGCACCAGGCCAAATTTTATCAGTGTAAATCACCCTGATACCCTGATAATCAGGGCGGGTTTTGGTCGCCACACTGATGCCTTAGGGTGAATTTTTCAGGAGATAGCTTTTCCCTGATTGTCAAACATATTTATATGGGTTATATTACTGGTAGGCTGTAGTGGGGTAGATTCTGTGGGGTATAACCCCTTAGGGTTTTCCTACTTGTAAAATTTCTCTCGATAGTGAACCTCACCTTGCCTAGCTATCTCAACATGGCATCTAGAGCAATGGTCCTAAGGACCTAAGATTGGGGCCCACCTACTCATGAGTTACTTTCCCTACAGCTATACCTACGTGCCTACCTTGCCTGCTGCCCGCGCGCGCCTCGGCTGCATGCGCACGTGCTTTTTTTTTTTAGCGCGCCCCGCTGCCTTAGCCGCCCGCGTGCTCGCTGCTGTCACGCGCAGCTCGGCGCCGCGCGCAGCCCGCCGCCACGCGCGACCCGCCGCCGCGTGCAGCCAGTAGCCACGCGCAGCCCGCAGCCGCGCGCAGCCCGTCGCCGCGCGCAGCCCGCAGCCGCGCGCAGCCCGTCGCCGCGCGCAGCCAGCTGCCACGCGCAGCCCGCAGCCGCGCGCAGCCCGCTGCCGCGCGCAGCCCGCAGCAGCGCGTGCCCTGCCCTGCCTGTGCGCCACTGCCTCGACCTGAGCGCTTAGCCGCCCGTGAGTCGTGCGCTTGCCTGCCTTACGCGCTTGCCTGCCTAGAGTGCGCCTGCCTGCTTTGCGCTTACCTGCCTGGAGTGCGCTTGCCTGCCTTACGCGCTTGCCTTTCCTGGAGTGCGCCTGCCTGCCTTGCGCTTGCCTGCCTGGAGTGCGCCTGCCTGCCTTGCGCTTGCCTGCCTGAAGTGCGCTTGCCTGCTGCCTGAGCCTGCTGCCTGCACCTGCTACTTTTGCCTGCGCTGCAACCATGGCGACCCTTACTGTTCTCGCCTTTGAGCCTGACGGCCGCCCCATCGAGTTTGACACCTGGCTTAGTGATCTGCGGCTTTACCTTATGACTGACGTCGCAGACGGAGTATCACTGCTAGCCTATGTGACCGGCACTGTCCCTACTCCCGCTGAGACTGCTCCTGCCCCTGAACGAGCACAGTGGGAGCTCCGCGATGCAGTCGCGCGCCTTGTTATTCGCAATCACCTACCGATCTCTGAGCGCGCGCATTTCAACCAGCTTAAGACTGCTAAGACGCTGTATGATGCTGTCGTTGCCCGCTATTCCGCCCCGGCCACAGCCACCGTTGGTAGTCTCATCCTGCCTTACCTGTTCCCAGACTTAGCCTCGTTTCACACTGCTGCCGACCTTATCACTCACCTCCGCGCTAGTGACGCCCGCTTTCGAGCTGCTCTCACCGACGAGTTCCTCGCCACGAACACCCCCCCGCTGTACTTTACCCTCTACATCCTCGTCACCCGCCTCCCTGACACTCTTCGTTCTGTCAGGGATCACTTCCTTGCCAAGGATCCTACCGCTATCACTCTGGACGACTTCGCGCAGCAGCTGCTCGCAGCAGAGAAGAACATCCTCGCTGTCGGTGCTGCTCGTGGCACTCCCCGCACTCCCCTCTTTGAGGGGTGCTCCCCCTCCCCTCTTGACCCCTCCTACGCCTCTGCTGCTACTGCTGTCGACTTCCTCGGTGCGGAGAAGGTCGCAGCGGCTTCCGCTCCTGGTGGGAAGCGTGGTGGTGGCAGGGGCGGCAAGGGTGGCAGGGGTGGCGGAGGTGGCGGTGGAGGGAGCGGTGGTGGAGGCGGCGGGGGTGGTGGAGGTGGTGGGGGTGGCCGTGGGGGTGGAGGCGGTGGGTGGGGTGGCGGCAGGACCGGGGGCGGTGGAGGCGGCGGCGGCGGTGGTGGGGGAGGAGGCAGCGGCAGTGGCGGTGGAGGTGGGAGTGGGGGTGGATCTGGCCAGAAGGGTGGCCCCACTGGTGGCCAGCAGCAGCAGCAGCAGCAGCAGCAGCAGCAGCCACAGCAGCAGCAGCAGCTTCCTCCCCTCACCTCCCAGCAGCTCAATGACTGGTATGCTGGGCGTGGGGCGTCTCGGGGTTCTGACCGCTGCCCCTATGTCATTCGTACTGGCCCCCGCCAGGGTCGCCCCTGCAACGGTTCTCACACTGAGTATCGCTGTTTCGCTAGGCTTAGTGACGCCTGGCGCGCCAAGTACCCTGATGCTGTTGAGTTCCCCAACTGGGCAGAGCTGCTTAGGCGTGATGTGCCTATCTTTGATCTGGACTATGATGTTATTCTTGCTGCCATGTATGCATTGACTGTTAGTGCTGAGGGTGACTGCTACTTGTGTGTGCCGCCTGACCCTGGTATTGACCCCGGTATAAGGGCTGCAGCCCTAGGTGCTAGTGAGTCTGCTCCCCTTGGTACTGAGTCGGCTCAGGCCTTGCACACGTTTACACTTGACTCTGGTGCTTCCCGCTGTTTCTTTCGCGATAGCACCACCGTCACTCCCCTCCCTGCACCTGTCCCTGTCTCACTTGCTGACCCCTCTGGGGGCCCAGTGCTTGCACGAGCCACGACTGTGCTCCCGTGCCCGGCGGTCCCGTCTGGTGAGCTGTCAGGTCTCCATGTTCCCTCGTTCTCTACGAACCTGGTGAGCAACGCCGTCCTCCAGGATCACTGGGTTGACACCTGGACTCCTGGAGGGCAGCGTGTGGCGATCTGCACGTGCTCCAAGACTGGCCGCCACCTGGCCACGTTCACTCGTGAGCCGGGGTCTAGTCTGTACACCCTCACCACTGTTTCACGCTACACTCCTTTGTCTCCTCAGCTGTACGCGTCTGCTCAGGTAGCTACCCAGTGTGAGTGCCGCCGCCTGTCGCACGACACGCTTCTGTGGCACCACCGCCTTGGTCACCCCTCCCTTCCTCGCCTTCGTAGCATGCACTCTCGCTCCCTGGTCTCTGGGCTTCCCAGGTCTCTGCCTGCCCTCCCTCCCTCGCCTGCGCCGCCCTGCATTCCCTGCGTCGAGGGGCGGCAGCGCGCCGCTCCTCACTCCTCCTCGTTTCCTCCCACAGAGGCTCCCCTGCAGACGCTCCACCTGGACGTGTGGGGCCCAGCCCGCGTCCAGGGACAGGGCCGTGAGCGGTACTTTTTGCTGGTTGTCGACGACTACACGCGTTACACCACGGTCTTCTCCTTGCGCAGCAAG